CAAGCGGCATTCCTTGGACAACTGAGTGTCTGTCGGTGATTTCGAGAGCCATCTTTGTCAGAATTGCCTGAAGCTTTGTCCCCACCGCTAAGATGATCTGAAACCAGATGGATCGGATGATAAGAATAAGAAACCTGACTGCCATTTTTATCCGGCAATCAGAAGATTCACAGATAAGAAAAGAAGCCTTACGATCACTGGAAGTGCCGCACCAAAGTACAATATGTTCCAGTCTGAACAGAAAGATTATGACACAAAGCAGACAGTTCTCGATCAGGAAGCTTCAAAGCTCAAGAAATGGACGGGAAAAACATGGCACTTACCGTGAACGTTTAGGAAGAGATATATAACGAACGATGCCCAGTGAACGGGACTGCAGAAAAGACGAAAATATCGGGTCAAATGACGAGTAAAGCATTATGAAGAAGCGTACTTGCAGAATGTACGGTTAAGTGTATATACATATATATAGATACCTCACTCCGACCACCAACTTGAAGTCATCCTCTAAGGATCTCTTTATGTACTTTTGGAAGTTAAACTGACTTCCTGGTGCTAGATGAGCCTACAAAAAATCAGAACAGACATTTTCAGAAACAGGACAAGAATGGTAAGAGATCTGATATCTCTGGACTGAAATCGACTATGGCCATGACGTTAGGAAAAGGATAAGACTTACAGAAATGAACCCGTTCCTCAGCGTCAAGTAGTCGGTTTTCCTGACAGATCTGAAAAACTGTCTGAAGAAGCATCCCTGAAGAGAATATGGTATTTGCACAGGTTAAGATTCAGCCGGGGATACGGTTTTTTTACCCTTTCTTTGAACATGTGACGGGTTATCTGACCCGGAAAAGAGAGTAAAAGGAACGGTTGCGTTTCTTACGACGTAGAAAAAGAACGGGATCCTCGTCCAGAAACTGGCGTGTGCTCTAACGAAAGACGTCTCATGGGTTAGTCTGAACCTGGAAGGATCTGTAAGAAACGACAACAAAAGTAAAATCAGTTCCACAACAGACCAAAGAAAAGATACTGAAAACTCGGGTTTAGATGGGGGGAAAGCTTCAGAGGAATCGGTTAAAGTACCGACTGAAAACTCGTAGTTGCCAGATGACACCTCTTGCTCCCAGTGTTTCCAGCCGCGAATCTGCAAACAACCCGTTTTTCCTCTGATTATGAAAAAGAAAAAACTCTGATCCTAAGGAATAGATGATGGAAAAATGGATCTGAAACTTGAAATAATCATTGTTTCAGAGCTGAAAAAAGAAGAACATAATTCTGCAAACCTTTAACCTCCCGAGCATCATGGTTAGGAAGCTGTAAAGGACATGAAAGACTGCTAAGAAGAATATGAGGAGGTGCAGCTGGTGCAGGGCCTCGGCCGATATTAGATGTTCATGATCCTGAAACATATATAACATAATAATCCCGTCGTTTTTCTGTTCCGATTTTCGTCGAAACCAGTGGAAAGAGAGTGAGAGATATGGGGATTGAGACGTGAAAATTCACCTCATCAGGACATCTTATTGAGGATCCTCCAGCTCCTGACAGAAACCTGTGATCATACCACAGTAGTTTTCGACGACTTTCTTCTTCGTGGTCGTCCTCGTTCTTCCAGCGGCATGGGAGCATTGTACGGGCAACTTTTGAAGGGATACATATCTTCAGAATGGGGTTTTGCCCAAATGTGATGAGCAATGATATGAATCCCAGAATCATCAGTTCTGAAACAACGCAATGGAAACAGAGATTCCGCATTTAATGTTCAAACTCAGAATCTAAGTGGTGATTTCGGACAAGACTTGTCATTACATTGACTAAATCTTGAAACTTTACGCGAATCTTATTGATGATCTCTGGGAATCCATACAAAAGATTTGCGACTTTTTTTTTACCAGATTTGACCTTCTCCAGGGCCTCGAGAAGAGCTTTCTTGCGTCGTTCCCAAAAGACCTGGATTGAAATCAGATCACGTTAAGACACAAATCCCAATGATCAGGGAACACAAACCGAAGCAGAAAGACGGTTTCTTTCATCGTACCAGACAGAACCCATCTCCATTAAAGGTCGGAAAACTACAAACACAGAACAGAAAAAGTTCCATCGAATAAAGCTTTAATTTTACCGTCCCGACTTTGTGAAGAACTTTTTCCAGAAGAACAGAGACGACGATGAAGAAAGTACAGACGGCGGCGACAGCCCATGTCGGCGTCTGGTAGAGCTCTCTCTCTCCGCTGTCACTTGTCTTTTCCGCCGCAACCGCCGTTTCTCCGGCGAGAAACCACCACCACCACCACCACAGGCCGAGGCGAAGCAACCGTAACGAACCGTCACTTCCCATTTTTCTCAGAGAGATTCTCGAACAGAAGTGGGTCCCGTACGTCTTCACTTGTTACATCAAACGAAAGCGAACAGAAGCTTCCGATCCGTCTGAAAATCTACGTTCACAGAAAACTGTCGGAAGCACACGGTTTTACGCTCCACGCGGCCGCAAAAATACTAAAACCCTTATCAACTTGAAGAAGAACCCAATAAAACCACTCACCGTCGCAGCGAATTCCGCTGTGTGAAATGGCGGATTGTGAATCGGAATCTATTGCCAGAAGAATTGACAGATTCCCATTCAAAGGAGGTGTAGATTTTGACGCGGGGGAGAGAGATATAGGGGTTTAAATGAAGCGCGTGAGAGGAGGAGGAGGAGGAGAAGAGATACGCTGATTGGCCCGACAACTCGAATCTGTCAAATTCTTGAGAAAAAAAAAATCGAAAGCGTACTTTTTTTCTTTTCGGACAGAAGTTGCAGAGAGTCAGCGTGGCAATCAGCGTATCTTACTTCAAAAGTCAATAGTTTTTTCTTTTCTTCTGATAGCATTAAATAATAAAATGGTTTGATTTTCCACTTATTCACTGTTTTGGAATATTGCATAAATGGTACTAACTCGCTGGCCAAATTTATTATTCTTAGCAGGCAAATCTCAATTTTCGCAAAACAAAATCTAAACTTTATTTTTTATTTAATAAAATCCCAATTTCGTTTATTTATAACTCAAAAATTAAATTGAAGTTTTATTTGATAAAAAAACAAAATTCAGTCTTTATTTTGTGAAAATTGATAAATTCTGATATTTTTTTAGAATTTTCTCCTATTATTATTATAGCAAATTCAAATAAATTATTTCACTTGTATCACAGACTATAATCAGGTTTTAAAATCTAACAAAAAAATAAATTTGTGTGCATTTCTAAATGAATATTTTAATATTAGAAATTGTAACAAAATACCAATTGATCGGCAACCTAGTTTACAAACCGATAGAATGAGATTCAGGTTGAAAATTGGAAAGTTGATCATCACGTCTCACGAGTAAATTAAATTTTTTTAAAAAATTACAAATGTATATATACACACACACATATTTTTATATATACATATACATACATACGTACATACATACATACATGCACACGCATATATATCACGATTGTTTGGATATATATATATATATATATATATATTATATATAAAAAACGAACGATTTCACTATATAAAATCCCACATATGTCCGAATAGATTCACTATTAAGAGCATGTAGGGAATTATGGGCTTCTAATCATCGCAATGGGCCTGAAATTGGGCTCAATGGTCTTAGAGAGACATGATTTACTACAATTTTGAAATGATTAATTTTATGAATAACCAAAAAATAATCACACGACCGAATTGTTTAATTTTATTATGGAAATATATCGACAAATGAAAATACACCGCCAACGGTGGGGTCGAATCAACATCATGAACAAATGAATAAAATTAACACCTGGTACAGGGTTTTGTTATTTTCGCGTTATATTTTTTTTAAAATTTTGTAAAAAACTACATGGTTTTTTACATCTATTTTCAGTTATATTCAAATTCAAATCCATTTTTTTAAATAAAAATATTGATTTTTTAGAAAGGTGTTCGTTTTATATTCACTTTGGATTCTTCCACTAATATATTTTTAAAAAAAATCATATCCAAACAAAGTTTTAAGTTTAAAAAGATTTCAATCAAATCTTTTTCCTCGAATTTGCACCTACAAACGCAAATGCAGGTCGTATCAGGGAAACGCCAAACGCAGGGGCTGCGTTTGCGTTCAAGCCATGAGTTGGATAATCAATGTTCACTGAAGAATATATATACTAGGGGTAGGCGAGAAACGGAATGGTATCGAACCGAAAATTTTGATATTTTTTTTCGAATCTTACCGTTCAAAATTCTCAACCGGTATGATTTTTATAAAACCGAATTTTTCGGACCCGAACCAAACAAAATCGAACCGAAATTTTCTTAAGAAAATCTTGATTTTTTTTTTAAAATGAAAACGAACCGTACCAAAACTGAATCGGACCGAATAATATACGGTACTAATTTGGTACAAATTTTGGAATACCGAATAAATCGTTTCCGAACCGAACCGCTAAAATTCTGACCCGAATCCTGAAATGCATATATATTGACCAGTATTTTTTATAATTATTATTTTTTAATTACAAAATTGGTATATACAACCTAAAATTGGTATATATGTTAATGATTATTCTCTCCATCCAGAAAAGGACGTATATTTCGGTGGAAAAGGCTATTAATAATTTCATTACAAAATATTAAAATTTGTAAATATAATTTTAAATTTGATTTTCTAATTAAGTCAATTCCAACCAGAAATGAACATTTTTTTGGCCAATATTACTACTATCAATGTATTCATGATAAAATATGCTATATTTGTAAATTTGGTTAAATTATTAAAATATAATATAATAGGACATATACAAAGTTCCCTAAAAAGGCAAAGAGAAAAGTGATAAGGGTCCTTTTGCTAAATATAAAATACGTAAAACATTTAAAATCTTTTATTTGTCGTATTTCCTTTTTTCTCTCTAATTATATCCTTTGATTTTGTCTACAGCTTCTGAGAGAGAGAGAGAGAGAGAGATCGTCCAAAGTTCTTACATGGTTCAGGTATTTAAACTGTTTGAAACTCTTCATTTTTAGGTGTGTGTGTATTTGTATGTGTATATATAGGTGTGTGCATATATATATATATATGTATGTGTGTGTGTGTATTTGTATGTGTATATATAGGTGTGTGTATATATATATCTGTGTGTGTGACTAAAAACTTAAGATGTCTCTATCGATCTCTCATCACTAGATTTCTGGATTTGTTTATGTTCTATCTAGATTTTATCGATCCTTTTTCCAAAATGCGGGAGAAAAACATCTTCTACATACATACATACATACATACATACATACAATTACATACATACATACAATTACATACATACATACATACATACATATATATATATATATATATATATATATATATATATATGTTCTTAGGAAAATATGGAACTTTGAGTTTCTCGAACGTTGGGAAACCATCTTTTTTTTTTTATAAAAAAATATTTATTTTTGGTCATGGATTGGAAAACTAAGTAAAAATAATGAATTGGCTCTCAAACGGCATCCCTTGTATTTTTTTTACGTGACGTCTGCCTCCTCCTTTCGTGCTGTCTCCATTAAACCACCGCATGCATATACATATACATATGCATATATACATATACATTATTAATCATCTCATCATGTTAGTGTGTTTTTAACATATCCGACTGTGTCAAGTCTTGGATGCATCTACTCGTTTCCTCATCCTTTCTGACAACGCATGTGCACACCCCACAATTTGAAATCATTTTCAGTTTTGTTACGCATAATGCCATGAACCATGTTTCCACAGGTCCAAAAGCTACCATCCCTCTTCAGTGAAATGTTTAAATCTCCCCCCCCCCTTTTTTTTTTCTCTTTACTTTAAAAATATCAAAATACAACTTCCACTTTAGGACCAAATCACAGTAGTGTTAACAATTTCAGTGAAAAACGGTCGCTGTCCCATGAGCTCGAGACGCAAATCTCAGCAGCCAAAGTTGCAACTTGCTCAGTCTTCTCCTTTACTTTCAACACCATTCCCATGTTAATGTCACATATATATATATATGTACGAATATATGTATGTATATATATCTGTGAAGGCACGTGTGTACTTGGTACCCTGCTCTATTCACATGGATCTTTCTTGGTAGATACTGCAGAGGCAAAAGGGTCATTGAATCCAAGCTGTAGCAAGCTGATCTGGCCGGGGAACCGACTTTCTTCTTCTTTTTCTTCTTCTTCTTCCTCTGTCTTCAAGGTTGCAGAAAAAGTCAGGTAAGAGAAAGGGATGGGGTTCTGGTCATTGTTGGAGGTGGCTTCCATGCCAGTGATCCAAGTTCTGATCATAAGCCTTGGAGGAGCTTTCATGGCGTCTGACTACTGCAAACTTCTCACTGTTGAAGCCCGAAACTCGATGAACAAGGTACGCCTAAACCCGTCTCTTCCCTTTTCATCATACATTCTTCGGTTGTTCTCCGAATGAATTTATCTGATGGTTGAGTGTACACTATATTTGATTGTTGGATTGAATAAAAAACCTGTAGGTAGTGTTTGTAGCCTTTGCGCCTTGCCTCATGTTTGCTAATCTCGCAAAGACGGTCACGCTTGAGGACATCGTGTCATGGTAAAAATCTTTTTTTTTTCCTCTCTTCCACGGGTCGTTGTAGCTGAATAAACGACGAGAAAGAGAGGTGATCGGTAGTGTTCTTGGTAAAAAAAAAAATATTATAGGTGGTTTATGCCAGTGAACATGGGGCTTACCTTCCTGATAGGAGGAATTCTTGGATGGATTGTTGTTAAGCTTCTGAAACCTGTACCTTATCTCGAAGGTCTGGTCATCGCTGCTTGTTCTTCAGGTATATAAATCCCTACAGAAAAACCAACAAGAAACATGGATGTTCATTTTGTTAAACTTATACGACATGGTAATGTTAAACACTATATTTGCATGTATATTGGATAAAAAAAACCTTTGATCATGAGCAAGGAGACAAAAATTTGAACACTAATGGCTAGGATGAATATCGCGTCCACCTCACTGGTTTTCTCGTGGTGGTTAAGGAAACATGGGAAACCTTCCCGTCATACTTGTCCCGGCAATCTGCGACGATGACAAGAGTCCTTTTGGGAACCGGAGCGTTTGCAGAACTGTTGGACTCTCATATGCATCTTTCTCCATGGCGGTATGTACTATGAGAATGTTTCCCCTTTTTTCTGTTGTAAAAAAGATTACGAGGCAAGGAGGAAAAAAAGAGAAATGAATTTGATATGTTTGCTTGTACAGCTAGGAGGTTTCTACATATGGACTTACACATTCCGGCTGATAAAAGGTTCGGCTGTAATGTTCAAAGCCATCGAAGAATCTGAGAAAGCAGCACTCAAACCACCCAATAGTGACTTAGAGTCTGATCACAAAAGCCACCTCCTTGATTCACCTGAAGGCAGCAATGGTTTGAGAAAAGACTTTGTCAAAGATGAGAAGGGCTTTTGGAGAAAGGGATTAGAGTTCCTTCATCAGATTCTGGAGGAGCTCCTTGCACCGCCCACAGTTGGCGCTGTAAGTCCATTTAACAGAAAAGCAAGACAAAACTTTAGTTTGAAACTAACGGTTAACTACAAACGACAGAACAATTACTTAAGGTGAAAATTTTGTTGCTTTCAGATGATTGGTTTCGTATTCGGTGCAGTTGTGAGGCTCAGAAATCTTATCATTGGGGACAATGCTCCCTTGCGAGTAATCCAAGATACAGCAAAAATACTCGGGTAGTTACCACAATCATCTGGTTCATAACTGGCAATGTTGTTGTATGTACTACCTGGTTGAACATGCCTCCATTTAATAATTGACAAATGGTCTAAGCGTGCAGAGATGGCACAATTCCTGGCATGACAATTATACTAGGAGGCAACCTCGTACAAGGTAAAATACTTCTCACACCACCGAAATTCCCATTCTATGTCAACAAGAAGAAGCTTACCTTTTATTGTTATCACCTGTTCTGGTTTGAATCAACCAGGATTACGTTCTTCGGCCATTAAGCCCCCTGTTATAGCTGGGATCATCTGCGTTCGATACGTAATTCTCCCGGCTATAGGTATATGTGTTGTCAAAACAGCTGAGAGTCTCGGGCTTCTCCCAGCAGATCCTTTGTTTCAGTATGTTTTGATGCTTCAGTTTACGCTCCCACCTGCCATGAATATCGGTCAGTCATCGATCACCAGCTGATTCATGTTACATTAGAAGATCATGAGAACGTTATTAACGAGTACTGGATGGCGATAACAGGTACCATGACACAACTCTTCAATGTGGGACAAGATGAGTGCTCCGTGCTCTTACTCTGGACATACTTAGTTGCAGCTCTGGCCCTTACCATTTGGTCAACAATCTTCCTCTCCTTGTTGTCCTAGAGAACCTGCAATTCTCTAAACACAACAAATTTCTGGTTCTCTGCTATTCAGAGAGTGAATAAACAGATTCCATTTCTCTCTCCCCATATGTTTGGCGACATTAAGCACATGTAGTGCCAAACCCTCTACCATTTTGGTCTATCAATAGTCATGGATAAGAGTAAAATGATGGAAATTTCTCGTTGCAAATAATAGAAGAAAAAAGCATATGTACCTTTTTGTCGCAATACATTACATTTTCTTCTCCCCCATTGCGGAGATTAAAGAATTGTATGAAGTTTTGCTTACAATCATGAAATCTATACGAGTTATCCAAGAAAATCACATGATCAAAAGTGATGCAAATCCCAAAAATCATGTCCACTGATGTATATAAAACGATGTTACAATGTCTTGAACTCATTGAAAATGAGTGCAGAAACTGGAAGAAGAAAATAAATAGCATAAAACCAAACATAAACTTGCTACTTCTATAATTGTAAAGCACCAGAACTCCAACAATGTCCAAACCACAAAACACAAGTGAAAGTGAGACTCAAGGTTGAGAGTTTTACAATAGATTTAGTTGGAGTTTTGGCCGGTTAGGCTGCGGCTCCACTACCTCCATGTGAATCCTCACAGTCTGCAAGACGCTGTAAGACAAACTGCCATCCATCTTAACAACCTTCTGGTGCTGCTCGTCTACGTACCAGTCTCCTCCTCCCTTCTCACCCTTCGCTATTATATAAACGGGCCCTTCTATACCGTACCTGCAAAGTGTAATTGTTGAGCACATGTAAAGAAAATGCTAATACAGAGTGCAGAAGCGATGTATATTTTAGCGGGTAGAGATTGCATTCTCGGGTTCTGAGATATAGCTTCTGAAGGTGGAGATAAGATGACTAGACCATTATAATGGACAGTAGCATGATATGCAATGCCAAGAAAATAAACGTCAACAGGAAAAAATACGAGAAAATTAGGGAAGGACCTAGTATTATTATCAATGCTGGAGAATATTATCAAAGTATGAGATAATCAACAGAGTGAAAAACGTACTTAGGAACAAACACTATGAAACCATTGGATCGTATCTTCACAATTCTCGCCTCTGCATCTGTGGGTCTGCAACATAATCCACAAAGAAACTTCTCTCACTTGATGCCCATGCCTTTACAGTTGATAGAGATTCAAATGAAAAAGGGGGAACCATACCGCTTTCGGAAGTAAATGAGAGTATGCAGCTCTACTGAACCTCGACTTGCCATCTGGGCATTCCTATGCCGATAGTTCAAATCTGAAGCAAAGATACGAGTTAAATTACAAAAATACGTGCAGCCGAGTGATTAGGAGAATTATAAGAAATCTCTAAGACTCAAAGCAAAAGAATCAACTTTAGATATTTCTACATGTCGTCTGACATAACAAGACAGAGTTCCAAACAAAAATCAGATCGAGACAGGAGACTCATAGATGTATTTTGGTTAAAGAATATGCCTCTATGTTCCAAAATGTTGGCAAAAAGGAAAAAAAAAATACAACACCCAGTCAACTGTAGTTTGGTGGCGAGTTTTCTTACTATCAGCAACGCTAGTAAGATGAGGTTGGTCTTGGAACACTGTTGGAAGCTTGTATATCCCCAATGAAGCAGCAAGTAATCTGTGTACAATGACATCTGCAGAGTAGAGAAGTCGTGAGAATATAGCATCTAACAAAAAAAGCAAAGGAACCAACCGCTAACCAAATATTGATGTACCTGCATATCTTCGAATGGGAGATGTAAAGTGAGTATAGAGAGGTGCTGCAAGCCCATAATGATGATATTCTGGTGGAGTGAGGTCCCCACTACAGAAGTATACAGCCTGAGTAGACAGAAACTTAGAATGTTAGATATGATGCATTCTCATGAAGTTATCATCCGCTGGATCCGTTATTCATGAAAACATTACCTGAGTCATGCACCTAGTTGCCAATATCCTGATCAGCTTATTGAAATACGGGTCCTCACCCTGAGAAACATCACCGTTTTAAGAATGAAGATAAAAAAAAAAGCTATGTACAGTAAAGGAGCTCACTTCGTGACTTGGGCAGTTAAAAGAATCGAAATTAATGAAACCCAATAAAAGCGACAAAAGCACTTTGTTATAAGCAAATAAGGTACAAAAGGTGTAATGCATATGAGAAAACAAACCATGCAATCGAGTAAAGAAATCTACGAAGTTTTAATGGACAAGAAATGGCTAAATGTTGGCTAAGAAATAAACCAAACATGCAGAGCAAAGGAAACTTACCACCGCACGGTCAAGTGAATCGGCCAGAGTTTTGGATGACGAAACATCTAAGGTAATTCCCACAGCTGCAGCAGTACGCAGCAATGGTTCAAGCATCTCTCTTGTCGGAATAGGATGACGCCTGGATGAAGAATCAGTACATCAGAAATGGCAGAATTAACTTTGATAATATAAAAGAATAGAAAATGCAGATAAAGCCTGCACAGATGATAAACACATACTCCAAATAATAGCGTCTTAGAATCACATGACATTCATACTGTTTAACATTTACAGACAATCTGAGGAAAAAAAGTTATACAACATCTAGTCCTTCGCAATTATTTTTTTTTTAATTTAAAAAAAATAAAAATATATAAATACAAATTTATATATTATATATACAAACATATATAAACACAGATACACATTCACATTCACATTCACATTCATATACACATACATACAAACACTAGACACATACACATACACATTTCACATTCACATACACATACATACACACACGTACACATACATATTCATATTCACACACCTACACACATACACATTCACATACACATACCCATACATATTCACATTCACATACATGTCATACACACACATACACCTACACATACATATTCATATTCACATACATACACACAAGTACACATTCACATACACACACACACAAACATACATACACCGCTTAAGCCCAGTTTTCATGATAAAGAAACAGTGTCAATTGATTCTTCGTCTCAGAACAAGTACACATGTTTTGTGAGAATAACAGATACAAATCAATTGCCATCCTTGATGAACAGATAATCTATACATGATCATATGTCCTTGCACCAAGGATTGATTTTCTTTGCATCCAGAAGAATTTAATAACAGCAAAACAGTAAGTCCTTCAGCAAATACTGGAACTTACCTCAACAGTGAACAAGAAGCGAAATGTTTGAGGATTTGTTCTGCAACTGAAACATTAGCCGCAAGCATAAATTCTTCAACCATTTGGTTTGCTTCTCGAATCTGATACATGCCTGTGCAAAACAAACCATTGTTCCTAACAAAGTTCTATAAAAACATGGAAAACAAAAGAAGAAATTGGATGCATCATGACTGCCGAGTGCCGACTGTACGACATGGGTGGGAGGTAACATATGGACTTCAGAATAATATTCATGTTTCATCAAAATGAAGCAAAGTCTTTCCTCGTATAACATACCGATGTCAAGAGGGTCATGAGTCTCTGTATCGATCTGAAATTTGACTTCAGCAGAAGCAAGAGTCAAGGCTCCCCTGTCAATACGCCTTTGCCTCATAATCTACAAGTTCAGAAGAAATAACAGGTAAAATTTCAAACACACGAGATTGTATTATTTCCATGGCTTTAAAAATAGAAGGTAATGTAAGGGAAGACTCAAACCTTTGCCAAAGAGTTCATGTTTCTCAGATCTGTAGTCAGGGGGTCGGTCAACCGGCTGCAGGAAGCAAGGAAACAATCATGACACTTCTATGTCAATTATGGGCTAAAGAAAGGTTGAGCTCCAAAACAACTATAGGTTACAATAGAATAGCTACAATAGCAACTGTATTATCCATTGCTTAATCAACTAAAGACAACAATTTCTTAACAACTCATGATCCTTGCTACATTATTATCAACAATCAACATCAGGAGACAACAAGGAATCAATTAGTCTACCAAAGTGACAAAATTTAACAAACAAGTAATTCATCCTCTAACCCAAGGTTAACTAGAATGTACCTATCATCCATCCGAGCCTGAGCTTCAACATAGGACAATGCTGCAGCGGACCTGATGACACTCTTTGTATATCTCGTTGAGATAATCTCAGCTTCAGGGCCCATTTCCTGAACAAATGAAATATGCTCCATTAACAATCTGAATAATAGATTACAGCTAGGTCAAAGGCCAGCCAATGAGATAATTAGGTCATAATCAGCTGAAGTGATTCAGAAGATGTAAGAAGCTAGATATTTTCACATTCACAAAAAGTGTGCTGCAAACACCATTCACCATGCAACTATTTTGATTTTTAAACCAACAAAAAATAGCTGGAATGAATAAATAAAAAATGATCGTACATTGGAACATGGAACAGGATATTTGGCCACCTCAAATAAATTGATAGAACCATGTTTAAGTTTTTTGTTGGGTCAACAGAGCCAAATTAAGTTATCCTGCTAATCGCTGATAACCTTAATCTTTAGTTAATATAAAATTTATAATACATCCAGTCGCCAAGGTGTGTGAAATAATGTGGTCCTTCAGAATCAGATTTACTTGAACCAGTGTGCCATAAATTCAACAGATGTTACCATGATTGTCAACATATGTAACATAAATTGCAGGTTAGAAGAGTCAATGACAATAGAAAAATGAATGACAACGTACCCAAATAACAGAGAATGCGAGCCTCTCCACATCAGCTCTAAGTGAACAGACATCTGCAAGCAAAAACACATTTTCAGACTGCTCTGAAATTGCAACAGAAATTATAAAAAACAATGTAAGATATATACCTTCTGTCAAAGGCTTGGGAAGCATATCAATGCGGCGCTCAACAAGATAAACAGATGTGCCTCTTTTTGATGCCTCGTCGTCCAAAGGAGTATCAGGGAGAACAAAATTTGTTACATCAGCAATATCTAATTAAGCACAGTCAAGGATAAGCACGGGGAATTTGTCCTTGCAGCTATGAGATAATAGCGATGAAACATGCCAATTTTTTTTGGAAAACTCTGAATACAAAAGAAGATAAAACAAATCATATTGAAAGCATTTCTAGCAGGGTCATCATGAGATCCCGATAGACTACGATGCAAAGTGGTAACTGGAGCAGATTTTCAATTTTATACCGCACATGGATTACGTAACTCATTGATTCTTAGGCATGCCATTCAAATTGAAATCTCAACCATATTTAAATGAGATCCCAATAGCCTTAAAACAAAAGATACGGACTCCAACTTCAAAGTTCCCGTTAGGAAGAGATGTGCAATGCAGTGCATCATCAATATCTTTGCAACCTGTAAAAACCAAAAGCATAACCTGTTTGTACATGACCATCTCCAAAATTTGAAATACAGTGAAACATCCACATAAACACCATAAACACAATTATCATACGAGTAGGCATATAGATCACATACCAGGAGGGTCCACACTAAAGACACGGACATGCCGCAAATCTTGCCTGATAGGATTGGCCAGATCTTCAGAAGATACAGACCAGGGCAAAGGTGGCAAGCAAGCCAAAACTTGAGCTGAGAATGGCCTGTAGTCAACGTCATTCTCTATCAAGACAACCTGCAACATTCACAACAAAGAGTATTGAGATGGTTTTCAAATATTTTGGGCACTCACCGCCCTGAAAAGGAAAGCCATACACTGCCTGTGCCCCTATGACTTCCAATGTGAAAACCAAAATAACTTAATCTAATGCATCTACCTCAGTTTCAGTTTCCCTGTCACCTATTTCCCCAATTGTCCGTACATAATGGCCAGAAGGATACCGAGATTGCCGATCCCAAGAATCAACTGCCACTATAATCCTCTTGTCTAAAAGATTCTGTAGCTGGCGTGTGACAATTCTGATCTTTGGAACTCTACGATCTTTGGAGACAAATAAAGCATGTGCAACACCACCGCTACCAGCAGGCAGTGACATTGGCTCAAGAGATCCACAATAGCTGCATGGTATCAAGCAAGTTTAGAAGTATCATCCATAAACCTCAACAGCCACACCCAGAAGCAGGCTCTATCTACTGCACAAAACCTATGATCAACAGTGCTAACAACAAATCACTAAGGAAGAAGCGAAAAAAAAAGGAGTAAGACAGATAGCACCAACCAAAACACACAGGAATCAATAGACTTAAACATATTCCTGGACTGTTAGATGCAATCATCTGAAACAGACGTTTCTGAGGAGAATTTATCCTCACTCATATTAACATGATGATATGATGCATCATCAGTGCATATAGGTATGTATTCAAGTAGAGAAGATTTAGAAATCAACTTACGAGTGCCAATTTCTACGGATAATACCAATTACACGACCTGATGGGCGAGCAGGGACAGTACTTTTATCCCCAGAAGTCCCTTGTGCCAAATTAGAGGTTCTGGGAGCATCATCAGCACTGTTGGGAACCAGATGAACATTATCATCCTCTTCCTCATCTACATCAGAATTCAACATGTAAACTTAACGATTGCAGCTAAACACATCAAAGCAACAAACAGCTACAAAGAGTAAGAAAAACCTTCATCAACTATGGATAATGCCTTCTCCTCTTGCCATTGATCTCGAGGCAAGAGTTCAACAGCAACAATATCACTGTCGAAAGCCCTGTTCATGTTGCTACGACCATAAATAATTATCTCTTCGCCAATGCTCTCGCTTCCAACATAAGCTTCAAAAGGATTGAAACGATTGACGCGAAGTTTCCCTTGATGGTATATTCCACGGTGTAGGCCAGCAGTAATCTCAGACATGGGCTTATGCTGCAGCCGGGTAAAAGAACAGAAACATATTAGACAACAGCTGTTCAGTTAATTACTCAAACTTGAGAACGAAAAGTCGGGATCCTTATATCCATTACCTCTGGGTATACGACTTTCCTCTTCGAAGGTCTGGAATCATCAACATCTTCCATGGTAACGTCTTCACTGGATGGTTGGACAAGCAGATCCAGCAAACCGGGTTGCCCCAGTGATTTAACATACGCCTCAACTGAGAGATAACAATATCAGTGACAAGCTCCTAAGTGAGATAGAATACCAAATATTGCCATGCAAATGAGCACGAAGAACTAATCAGTAAATCACTAAGCTTTGATATCTGTAATGTTCAAAATAAAACAGTTTTGACGAAACACATAAAGATGATGTACATACTTGTCTCTGCAGAAATTCCTTCTTCAGCTGCCTTCCTTTTATTTTCTCTGTCATTAGTTATAAGCAACACCTTGGATGTACTGCCTAGATGTTTCTGGTACCATTGTGTAGCAACCCGGATAGCTGAAATTCAGTTACATTTACAGGTTCCAATACAGATGTGTATCAGAAGCAGAAACATAGAAGCTGTAAATAACTTCTGTACTGCTCAAGAAAAATAAAGAAGAAAAAAACGGTTAATGTACAAAAAAAAAAGACAACCTCTATCATTGCGGTCATTGGCGCTTTCTTTCTCCATGGCCTGCACGTAAGTATCCCTGTGGGAAGTTCAGATAAAAGGATAAAAAAATGGTGAGAAGAGAAAAGAAAAGCTAAAACACTGTTACTTTCATAAGTTAATTTCATAGCCTTCATCTTTAATCCTTTCAAAGTCCCTAAATTTAAGACATCTAGAAGTTTAACTGAAAAATTAGCTCTTACTTGTGGACATGATTCGAGAAAACATAGAATCGCCGTGCTGGGTTGCTGCAGAGAGCTCTGATTCTGTTATAAACAGACGTGTTCTTGTTCTTAACCTCGTCCAACACCACGGACAGAACAACAACGTCGTCTATGGCCGGATTCTCCAGCAAGTCAATCTATGGAACAACAACATATAAATACCTCCAAACCAATACAAAATCGGGAAGTAAACAATCGTTCGAGATAATCAGACAAATTACTTGGTGAAGAACGACGTTGGTATCCACGACAATAATCTTAGAGGAAGACAAGCGAGCAGCTGAAGTATCGCAGGACTTGCAAGCAAAAGCTCCGCAGTATATGTCATCTCGTAGATACACCTCTCTCACTTGCTGTCCCGACAAAAAACAAAGGTGAACAACACCGAAGAGAAGAACATCCTCGGCGGGAAAACGCGTAGAGAGAGAGAGAGAGAGAGAGAGATTGTGAACAGACCTTCTGGATTCTCCCTCCTCTGGTTTTTTTGTTGAAGACCTTGCTCTGCAACATCTCTGCAAATTTCTCCAGAGAATTACCCGACCGTCGGAGAGAATCAGATGAATGAATGGAGACCGGACAGAATGTCTAAACCTAGACTGAGTTAGCGACAAGTTAAAGCACATAACGATTTAAAGTTCTAAACCCTCTCAATCGGGAAACCTAAAACGCAAACGCGATTTTAAAACTCAAATATGTGTGGAAAAGTTAAACGGCTCGGCTCGTACACGACGTCGAACAGTGGCGGAGAAGAGAAAACTCAAATGGTGAGGAGATCCTAAAACCGCAGGCTCGGGACGAAGCTTCGTATATTTCATCTTCCCTTCCAAGTTTTGACTTCACGAACAGGAAAACTTCCAAAAACCTAGCTTAATCGCCACCTCCACCGATCGATTCCTATGCCCGATTCTTAAATATCTTCTTCGATCGTGTTCGCATCGTTCACTGCTGATCTTTCCCGACGTACCCATATCCGTTTCACTTTGGAATGCTACGGATGATGAGATGCTGCTTCCTCAGCCGTCTCTTCTTGTTGCTTCTGCTGCTACTGTCACCGTCGACATGTACTTGCGGCGGCGGCGGTGGGACGTTGCGGATCTCGTCGCCGGATTTTCGCAACGAGCAGCAGCGAGTCTCCGCGAGCCGACCCACAGGCAGATCGCTCTTGCACTATCCGTAAGTTTCTCCACCTTGCGCGTTTCAATTGCTTTGTCCTGAGATTCTGGTGAAAAACTCGAGCTCTAGGTTAGGGATTAAAGTTCAAATTGGATCAACAAATTTCAACAAACGTCCGGGAGTTTTCTCAGTTCTAGTGAATTGATTTCATCTGAAACGATGTGGAGACACAACCCAGATTTTGTCTTTAGTGATCTAAACAAAGAAAGATTTGTGATTGCTTCTAAAAAATTGCCACTTTTCCCCAGATTGGCTATGTTTGCTCTCTATAGTGTTTCCTTGTGCAAGGCTTTTACAATTCAGGCTGTTTTCGCTGTAGCTTTCTGCATAATTTGATCGAAATTTGACATTTTGCATAACTGTGTATAATCAATGATGTTTTGATCTTCTTTACATGGCTAATATCATCTGGCTTTTGATTGTCAGAGAGCTGGTTGAGCCGAACACGGAGTTCGTCGTTGATCGTGATGGGAAAGTTTCCTTGATGCATCAATCGGGGAATGTAATCTGGTCCTTTGGATCAGGACGGCCGATTCAATCTTCTTATGTGGCTCCTTTGACTGCGGAAAACAACAGAGACAATGCTCCCGAGATTGGTAGCAGTTTCGTATTAGAGTATTTGGATGAGTCGGAGGCTAACATGGTTGATGAACGCTATGCTAGATGGGTATGCATTTGACATTTCCTGCTTCGGATATCCCTTTGTACTCTCTCCATGGTGATTTTTTTTTTGCTTCACTGTGTAGCTTGGGAGTGTTTATTCAGGTTTTCGCTCATGTGATTGCAGAAAGTTCATGTCAATATGGAGGACTTGCTTACAAAGATGCCGCTTGTAACAGATGATGGGTTGACATTAGGGTCTAAGACAACTACTGCGTTTCTGGTTGATGGTAGATCTGCGAGGCTAATCCATGTTTATAAGTCAACTGATTCTTCTGGGGGTGATAACAATGGTACTAATGCTATGTTGAAGCCCACTGGTGCCGAAAATGTTGCTGAGCTACCTCTTCTTATCACCAGGACAGATTCCAAACTAGAGCATTTCGACAAAACTACTGGAAAGCTTTCATGGAATGTTACGGTTTCTCACTTTAGAGCTGATTTGCTATGTCATCCTACTTTCAATTCAGGCGATGAGCTCGGCCCTGAAATTCTTACTGGGATTTACATGCCATTGCAATGTGGATCACAAACTGATGTCCGTCCCCTGATTAAGTCAGAACTTTTCGTCAGGGTTCGTGTTGATCAACATATGAATATGTTAACTACTCTGCAGCCTGACGGTGTTTACAAAGCCAAAAAGCTTCCCTCACAACAATCCAGAGCTGACAAGCAGTCAAAATCTCAGCGATATGCTGACAGCAGAGCAAGCATTTCTCTGCCAGCTTCAAGAACAAAGGACTCCAGGAGGTTACAGGAGCAGGATGTGAAAAATTTGGAAACAAGTCCTAGAAACGTCATTGGTAAACTTTTCAGATGGTTAGCAATACTAGTATCTTGTGGTGGCATTGTGTTTCTTCTTCGCTCTGCTATTGAAATATTTGTTTCCAGACAAAAGAGGGCTACCGATGGCTCTTACGCAAAAGTTGTGCCCTCCAAGAAGAAGAAGAACAGAAAATCAGGAAAGAGTAGTCTTGTAAATGAGCAGGAAGACGGGCCATTTGTTGCTAACTACCAGGATCGGTTTGAGCTAATTGAAGGAGGTGACCAAATGTTATTAGGCTTTAATAATCTTCCGAGTGGTGCAGCTGATGGGCGAAGGATTGGCAAGTTGTTTGTATCGAATAAAGAAATTGCCAAGGGAAGTAATGGCACTGTGGTGTTCGAGGGTATCTATGAAGGTCGCGTAGTAGCTGTGAAGCGCCTTGTTCGATCTCATCATGAGGTTGCTTTTAAGGAGATTCAGAACCTAATTGCCTCCGACCAACACCCAAACATCATTCGGTGGCATGGTGTGGAGTATGACCAAGATTTTGTCTACCTTTCTCTAGAGCGTTGTGCTTGCAGTCTAGATGATCTGATCAAAGCCTATTCAGAATTCTCCATGACGAAAGCTTCTGGAAACGGCCAATCCGCAGGAGATATAGCAATATCTGAGTATAAGATCCAACTGGATTCATTGGAGGGACTTATTCAAGGGCATGATTTCTGGAAAGTGAGCGGCCACCCATCACCTCTCATGCTAAAATTAATGAGGTTGGTTTTGACTTTGGACTTTATGCATAAGTAGTTGTATTCTTGGTTTGGGAAATGTTTATATCTTGCATTGGATCATGGAAGGACACTTTCTTGGATAGATGGTTTTGTCAAAACCCGAATCAGCGTACCCTTGTTTGTCGATTTACTTCTTGTGTCTCATATTTTACTATCGTTTGTGCTTTGTTGCAGGGATATAGTTTCCGGGCTTGCCCACTTACATGAATTGGGAATCATTCATCGAGATTTAAAACCACAGAATGTGTTAATAATTAAAGGGAAGACTTGGAGTGCAAAGCTTTCTGATATGGGCATTAGCAAGCGTTTACCTGGGGATATGTCATCTTTGGGTCAACTTGCCACTGGTAAAGTTTTGCTTCTTCAGTTTATCAACATCTGGTTTTGTTATTCTTTCAATGATGGATTTATTGAAAGAGTGAAAGGACTAAGAACCCTAGATTAGTTAGGAAATTGCCCGGGGAATCTCTCAGTTCATCATCTGTTGATTTACATTGTGGATGCTGAAGTTTTGGCCTTCTGGGGCTGAATTGATGATTTGGCCTATCTAAGCAAGTTCCAAAATGGCAAAACATTATTCTGAATTCCTTTCTATTACAAAATTACAGGGTCTGGGAGTTCAGGTTGGCAAGCACCAGAGCAGCTTCTCCAGACCCGTCAAACGCGTGCTGTGGACACATTTAGCTTAGGCTGTGTCCTGTTTTTCTGTATAACCGGCGGTAAGCATCCGTTTGGCGAAAATCTGGAACGAGATGTGAACATTGTGAAGAACAGAGTTGACCTCTTCCTAGTGGATCATGTCCCAGAAGCTTTGGACCTCATCTCCCGTTTGTTGAACCCAGACCCTGAACTACGGTAAGGTTATTTCTCATCTGACAGTTCTACTCCGCTGAAGAAAAACCCGGCCCTTTGCTCAAACCGCGAGATTCTGTGTGCCTTTTTGTCCTCAGGCCGAACTCAAACGACGTCCTGCTTCATCCTTTGTTCTGGAACTCCGAGATGAGACTGTCTTTCCTTCGGGATGCCAGTGACAGAGTAGAGCTGGAAAACCGAGAGGTGGATTCCGAAATTTTAAAAGCATTGGAAAATACTGCTCCAGTGGCTCTAGGCGGAAAATGGGACGAAAAATTAGAACCCGTCTTCATCGACAACATCGGCCGCTACAGGCGTTACAAGTACGACAGCATTCGTGACTTGCTCCGAGTCATCAGGAACAAACTCAACCATTACCGAGAACTTCCCCAAGAAATCCAGGTCCCTTTCTTACAAAAAAACAAAGCACCACTCGCTCTTTTAACCTGAACCTTTCCCCTTTTTCGGACTGAGACTGATTCTCCGTGACATTGTTTGATCGGACAGGAGCTTGTCGGAAAAGTCCCAGAAGGATTCAACGAGTACTTCGCTGTTCGGTTCCCAAAACTGCTCATCGAAGTGTACGGAGTCATGTACGGATATTGCAAGGAAGAAGAAGTATTCAGGAAGTATTTCAAACGCAACATCATCTGATCCGATGACCGTTGCTTCCCGCCCTCTGTCTGTTTATCGTTATCTGTAATAATGTTAACTGTGACTGTAACTTAGATTTGCATGTGTAAATATGTCATAGAGGCTTCAACTGATTTGTCTGTATAATCCACGAACACGAGTATTGTGTTTGCCTGTCCCCTCCCAGGGAACATAACTCACTCAAGGCTTTTGAATGCGTTCAGAAACCCACCCATTAGCAATATATGTTTATATTTAGTGTCGGCATTTCGGTTGGGAAATTTGGTTCCGAACCAAATCCGAATTATTCACAGATTTATGTGTAAATATTATGTTTTGGTTCTTATTTAATAATTCATATAATGAACCGAACTAAACTAAACCGACACAAAAATGAACCGAACCGATTCACATCCATTCTAATTTAATACAATTATTATATAACCGACTAAATTGTTTCCAAACCGAATTAGAAAATAACGAACCGAAATCCCAAATGCCATCCTACGTATAAAATCCAATTCAACAAGGTCTTCTTTCCAAGGATGAAGGCTTGACTGGGTAGGGACTGCTCTGAATTGGGCCTATTGATTAAGCTCAAAGGCCCAAAACAAGGCCCAGACTCAAGGCTTAGAACCCTGGAGCCTGGAATTTTACTTGCGGAGAAAGAGGCCGATCTCGGAATTCCCCCGACAATGGCGGCTCTGAAGGAGATCCTGACTCGGCGTCCGGTGGCGGCGACGATAAGGCTGACGGTTCCGCTCGTCGGAGCGGAGACGGACCGGATCCGTCGTTGGGTCCGGCACTTGGTCAGTACGGACTCAAATTTATTGGCAGAAGCACAAGGTACTGCTAACACAAGGCCGACACTCCAGTGGCAGTCTGCGTTCAGGGAAAACACGTTCGAGTTTCACGGTGAAGTCGCCGCCGGTTACGAAAGCGATCGGAATCGAGAATAAAAAGAGATATATACAAATCATGATGAACAGTTGAAAAAACTATTTTTTTTTGCCATCCATAAAAAGAAAATAAAAAAAGATGCTGGAAACACAACATTCTGGTTATAAAAAAGAGATATATAGCTGAAAGATCTCAGAGTGGAGATCTATCTACAAGAAACACAGCATCCAAACAACAAAAAGACATCAACTTTATTATTACATTCGTTTCTCGTCTATGAATCCAAATTTATATCACCTTAGATCTACAACACTGTAAATGCAACAATCCATATATGTAAACATTTATATATGTATCTCCAATATACATATATTGTATTATATCTTCAATTCAAAACCCATGAATTGGAACGGGGAAAAAAATGATGGTGAAACGCCAGAAGAAGATCAAATGGATTCTACTGAAATGATGAAACTCGTACCTCGTCTAAAGCCGATCGAACCGATCTCGCTGTCACACGAGACATTCACTAAGAACGGACGGCTTTGTTTTGCTTTGCACATTCAGGAGCCTTCAAATCTTGGCATTTCCATGATGGTCCTGATACGACCGGAATCACGCCTTCGCTGGCACAACACTCGGGTTGAGCCAGCGACTTACCGTTGTTTCTATTTCCGGAAGCGTCCTTCTCGTGCAATGTAGACTGGGAGCTTTTGACGAGTCCTTCCTTGTGATTTTCTTGATCCTTAGTATTACAAATGCTTAAAGCCAGCTTCTTTAGCTTCACTCTTCCCCTTCTCTTACCCAATGAGTTGCTTTCATCCCCTATTTTGTCCTGCAATGGAGTCGAATCTTCTTCCATGTTGTCTGGATCTGATCCCTTGCCCTTGTGGCAAACGGGTGTCTTCTCGTTTGCTCTGGTTTTGTCCAAATCATTGTCGTTCGAGCTGTCTGAATCCACGACCCCAGCAATGTCATGCTCCCTGAACATAGAACCAGATACTACACTACTCCCAACTTCAACCATCGGATTCTCAGAAGTAACTATGGCCTTATGTTTCTTGTTCTTGTGACCCTTCCCCTCAGGACTAGGGCTAGTCCTCAACACTCTAGGGGAACTATTTATAGCTCGGTGTAACCTACGCGCTAAATCCTCATCCACAGCACCAGGATCCTTTGTATTCGAATACAAGAGCTCAACTGGAACATGCTTCTTCTGCTGAACATGCTTCTTCTGCTTATTCTTCCTCGGAGACCTATCCTTCCCACTAATTACCTCCTCAGGGAAAGCTGGTTGAGCCGAACACGGAGTTCGTCGTTGATCGTGATGGGAAAGTTTCCTTGATGCATCAATCGGGGAATGTAATCTGGTCCTTTGGATCAGGACGGCCGATTCAATCTTCTTATGTGGCTCCTTTGACTGCGGAAAACAACAGAGACAATGCTCCCGAGATTGGTAGCAGGTTCGTATTAGAGTATTTGGATGAGTCGGAGGCTAACCTGGTTGATGAACGCTATGCTAGATGGGTATGCATTTGACATTTCCTGCTTCGGATATCCCTTTGTACTCTCTCCATGGTGATTTTTTTTACCTCCTCAGTGAAAGAGTAAAACAATTCTAAAGCACTCTTGGCCGCAGCAATGGCCTTGGCAGCGATCAAGGCCTTCTCTTCTGCGGCGGCTCTCGCCACCTTTGCATTCTTAGCCGCGGCAGCAGCAGCAGACCTCGAGGACTCAGCGATATCCTCAGGCCTGAGATTCGGGTCGTTGAGATGCGACACCAGTATGTTGTCAAGATGGGTTTGCACATTGGCTGAGCCAGAGGAGCCATTTGAAGTAGAGGAGGACGAAACTCCACCTGCAGGAGGAGGAGGAGGGCTCGGAGATCCATTGCCATTGAAATTCTGCTTCTTCAATCCTGCGAGCAAACGCTTCCGAGGAGGAAGAAGCGCATCGGATTCGAGCTGGTTTACATCGCACGCATCTGTCTCCATTTATCGATCTGTTCACGATTTCAACTGAAATCCAAAATCGACGAAGAAGATATTGATTAGTGTCTCGTTAGGGCAGGCAACCAGGAAACAGAAATGAATCAGAATTCAAATCAGCTCGATCGAGAACCCTAACGAGCAAATCAGAGCACAAATTACTCATCATTATCATCACCCTATCATCCAGATTATAACATCAAAGCGATTCATATGTGTATCCATTGATACTTCACAGAATCCAGAACAAGAACACCATTCAAATCCAGCGAATTCCTCAAACACCACAATTAAACGTACATCCCAAAGCAAATTCCGGGCAGTAGAAAACCAAATTCAAATCAGATGTGAATCATCAGAAGAAAATATAACCAGAAGCACGAAAAACAATACAGAAAAAAACACACCGACAGCTCAAGTTCTCGATCAAACAGAATCGCAAAAAAAAACGCCGGATTCAGGCAACAAAAAATTCAGGTAAAAAAAAAAACAGAGTCCCGGATCAACGAGCTTTCAAAATTTTCGCCCTCTCTTCCCCATTTAAGGCAAGTTTCTGCAGCTTCCGAGTTACCTGGTCATCGTAAAACGAGAATATACACGGAGAGGGAGAGATGAAGAAGATAAAATTAGGGTTTTCGGAGGGAGAGGAATGGAGAAGAAGAGAACGGATTTGTTCTAATCTGTGCTCCATTTTGGTTTTTATATGTAAACCCTACGAATCTCTCTCTCTCTCTCTCTCTCTCTCTCTCTCTCTCTTATTTTTTAAAAAAATCCAATTTTTCACATTAATTTTACCTTTCCTTTTTAAATTTTACAATTTTTTTACAGTTTTCAGGCAGAAATTTTCACAGCCGACTCTCAGAGACTGTTTATTACGTCCATTCAACGGCAATAACGGCCGTCAAAACCCCTCGTTTTTTACGGTCTCTCCTATTTCTTGTTCTTTTTAGTCTTATAAAATATTAACTTAATGTTTTGTGCCAAAAACAGAAATAATTTAAATATGGAAACATTTCATATGAGAAAAAGAAAATTTGTGTTTATATATTATGTGCCTAACAATCTTATTTAAATCATAGAACACTATCTAAAAACTATTAAATTGATATAACAATATAAAATAACATTTGTTAGATGAATTGATATACGTTTTTACATTTTTACAAGAGATTTTAGACCGAATTAATGTCTTTTTAACCACCTGTCCAAAATATTGCAATATGCAATTTCATTATAATAATCACTTCAGTTAAAAAGTTTAACGTTTTTTTATTGATGTATTCGGTAGAATAAACTTTTTTCCGATCAACTGTTATGTGTACGTATATACATATAAAACTGTTATATCTCTAGTCAATTAGTAAAATATATTAAATTTGTACACAACAAAATAATATATTTATATATAAGTATGAATTATGTCTAATATCTGAGTAATGTATGTCTATAACTTTTAAGATATATTGAATATATATATATATATATAAGTTAAATTTAATATTTATAATACTATAATTCAAAAACAGAAAACTCTAATAAATAATCTAAAATCACGTTCATATGTTTTTAGAAAATATAAATGTCAAGTGATTTAGCCATGACACTGATATTTATTTCGGTAATTAATATTCTACGATTTATCTCGACAATAAGGCAGTGACAAACGACGTGATTGGTCAGTCAATATGTCTTAACTCCAACTAAATGTGTGATTAAGTAAAGAGCACGCAAGTCAAATAGATTCGGAAATGGCACAGGAGCAATAAATAAATCCCTAAATAAGAAAATAAGAAATTAGTAATTTTTATATCATGCTTATAAAAATAAAAAATGTTAGTTTATTGTTTAATATTATTTAATATATCAGAAAATCAGCTTGGCGTTCGGCCGGCGTAGGGGATAAACAATAGTCGACCGACCAGCGTGCCAAAGCTATCAATCAATCATGTAATGCCACGTCATGCCAGATGTAACGTCGGGTCTTAATCGCACGCCACGTCATGCTTTTTCCCATGTATGTGCTTTGGGAAACGACGTCGTTTTCTGCAAACCCTAAATCCACAAACTTTGGGATTTTCCCTCCAGTTTTCCATTTGCCGACGATTTTTCCGTTAAAGTGAACGAAATATTGATGCAAAACGCGATGCCTTTCTCAAATTCATGTCGAATGGTGAGAATTTCGTGAATTCCCACCATTGATTTCTCGGTTTCTCTTGATTTGGGTTTGTTCTCGGCTGTTGAGTCTGATCAAAGTGGGAGATGAAGACCATCAAGCCCTTGCCTGAACATGTTCGTCATTCCGTTCGCTCCGGCGTCATCATGTTCGACATGACGAAGGTTGTGGAGGAACTTGTCTTCAACAGCCTCGACGCTGGTGCGACGAAGGTACACCAATTGCTCCATTGATGTTTTTCTCCTGTGATGGGATCCTCAGCAATTTTCGTCACTCGACGGGTTTCAGGCCAATAGTTTCCTCGGAACTTGTTTGGAGTTGTGTTGAACGACACTTTTTGTTTTCAGATATCAATATTCGTAGGCGTTGTCACCTGCTGTGTAAAAGTTGTCGATGATGGTAAGTCGGTTGGTGTTCTGAGAGATTTTGATTTCCAATGGCATTTCTGATGTGGGGTTGTCGATGGAATTGATGTCCTTGCAGGATCAGGGATTTGTCGAGATGATTTGGTTTTGTTGGGGGAAAGATATGGTAAGCTTCAGACAGCAAGAGTCTCTAAATATGTTTAAGAATATGGAATTTGTGGTAAATAATACGAGTTTATTTTCCCCATTTGGGAGACTAAGATTGTGGAATGTGTCGCACAGCTACATCAAAGTTTCAGGATTTCACTGACTTGGGGTCCGCAAGCGAAAGTATTGGCTTCCGGGGAGAGGCCCTAGCTTCAATTTCAGATATCTCATTGATGGAAATCACGACGAAAGCTATTGGGAAGCCTAATGGTTATCGAAAGGTTATGAAGGTATTGATCATTTCTGACACGGTTCAAAGTTCCCACATTTGTTGTAGTTTTTTCTATGCTTTAACTATTGTCTGGATTCCCAGGGATCCAAGTGCCTGTATCTAGGAATAGATGATGAAAGAAAAGACTGTGGCACAACAGGTAATGTATATTTTGTGGAGATTTCATTTGCTATTGATGATGCTGTTGGCCGGAAAGATACCTCGGTCATCTAGAGTTCTGATTCTGTTCGTGCTCTTCTAGCTGTCTGATAGGAAATGGGTTATATGGTAATTGTACATTTGGGGGAAAACCCTAATGACATTATCCTCTTGATGTATATAAGGAAAACCCTATCTATGAATGAGAACATCAACATATTGATCAAGAAATTGGAGAAGAGGGCAATCTCAAAACCTTTGGGATTTTATGGTCTCTCTCTCCCTAAAGTAGCATTAATCTTTCATTACTTTGGTGGAAATTCTAGGTTTCCATCACTGTCTTCTGCAGAATTCTTGGGGGTAGAAAATATTGTCTGAAATAGGGAAAAAAAATAAGATCATAGCTGTTTACCCTGGTATAATTTGAGATAATATACTTTCTTTTCGAATCTTGGCCTGTTTATTATGCAGTAATTGTCCGAGATCTTTTTTACAATCAGCCAGTCAGACGGAAGTATATGAGTTCCAGGTTCATTTCTTTGACATTTTCTTTCTAGAGCAAAGAATTTGCATTTTAAGCTATATTCTCTCCCTTCCTAACTTTCCAAAATGGATTCTCACCTTTTTTTTGCTTAAAAAATTGCTATCTGTTTTGCATGGAAGCCACAAGAAGGTATTGGACTTTATCAAGAAGTGTGTGCTCCGGATTGCCCTTGTGCACTCTGATGTTTCCTTTAGCGTTCTTGATATTGAAAGGTGCCTTCCCACACAGCACTTTAAAGTCGAATTCCATACTACAACCTTTTTGACACTATTCCATTGATTTTAGTGATGAAGAGATTTTCCAAGCAAGTCCTTCTTCTTCAGCTTTGTCACTGTTGATGAGAGGTTGTGGAACCGAGGCTTCAAATTCTTTTCGTAAAGTATATGGTAGTGATGGAATGATGAATATCTCTGGGTATATATCAGTTCCTGGAGAGAGCTTTGCGATGAAGGTAAGTTACTTGCTTCATTTCTGGTTTTTAAAGCTATTCATGGTGCTCCTCAGGTTGTTAGCTTTGACTCTTACCATCTAATTTTTTGTCCGCATCTCGTGGTATGTTCTTTGCAGGCCTTTCAGTGTGTCTGTATCCACAATTCTGCTTCGTTTTCTCGATTACAGTACACCAAATGTCTTCTGAGTTTTAAGTTGGCAAGTTTCTGTATCTGGTTGTATGGCCTTCACAGTGACAGATATTAACTTGAGATTCGTGAGCAAAGGCCCCATACATAAACTGCTGAATCATTTGGCTGCTAGTTTGGAATGCTCGGATCCCTGGAAGTTTAGAGATGGGCTTCAAACAGGAAAGCGTAACCGGTCTCAGTCTAATCCAGCTTACATTTTGTGCATAACATGCCCGGGTCATCTCTATGATTTCTCATTTGAACCATCAAAGACATACATTGAGTTCAAGGTAGCAGATTTCTTGTGATTCAAATTTTAGTTAGACAAATTCTATTTTAGTTGACTGCCTATATTTTCCGTGATAGAATTGGGAACCTGTACTTGCCTTCATTGAGAAAGTCATCCTTGCCCTCTGGAAGAAAGATACAAGCCTCGGTATGCGATGTTACTATCAAATTCTGATACTTCCCTTAGATTTTGTTTATTCTTTCAACATTTTGGTACATTTCACATAGAATTTGTTGATGAGGGAGCTGATCTGCCAGCAAAAGGTAAAAGGCATAAAGTAGCTGATGAGATCATTGTTCCAAAGGAAGGTATGGGAATCGTCATACTTTTAGTAGCATAACGCACATGCTTCATTGGACAGGATTGCACAGCATCATAAGCTATGGATTAATGTCATTTTCTGGATGCAGATTGTCCAGGAATTGTAGAACCAACAAGAAAGAAATTCAAGAGAAATAATAACCAGATGTCTTCCAACATTCTGCTTCCCCATTTTCATAACGTAAATAGAGATGATGACTCTATGTCTTCAGGAAATGATGCATGGTGGTCTCCACATTTTGAGTTTGAAAATAAAAGTGGGCACCTTAATGAGCAAACTACTGGAGGTGAATTTGATCACCAGACTGACACTCATCTAAGATCATTGGCCATGGAGATGGGAAAGAGGGGAGACCTTCCACAAGTTCTCGATGCAAATGACTTCATGGAGGCAAGCTTTGCTGCTGTCATGAGGTCCAGGAAACACTCGTCAGAAAGATTCGAAAATTCCTCCCACATTGACTATGCTTTTAGGAAAGTCTCTGAAGGATTAAGTTTGGAATTTGGAAACTTCAATAATGGATTAGATATTAACAATTGTACCGGAAAAAATCTCCTGCGTGGTTGCTCCTCAAGAGGCAACCTAACTCTTCATGAGCCTACATTAGCTCATGATCCTGTGATCCGTAATGATAAAGGAAATGAATGGTTGGCTCCCGTCATAGAGACCAAACAAGATGGTTTTTGGTGTGATGCTTTCTCTGATGCTTTTGGATTTTGCCAAAGGTCAACAACTTCTGATTGTGCTCTAGGGGATTTAGGACAGGGTGATGGCTTGTTTACTCCACAGGGCTTTCAATACAGTAAAAGCATTGGAATAGGAGAAGATTCTAACAATCTTCCTAAAGATGCTGAAGAGTTTCATCGTCGTGAAGACACATCTGTCAGGAAGAAATATGCTTCAGTTGCCCAGGTGGGGAACTCGAGTGTTAAACACTGCTGTTTTGGTTCTGAATTGTCTCATTTGCCCTTTGATCCACCTTCTGAAATCATGTGGGATTGTGATGATCACAATCGTTGTGAAATGCTTGAAGGGAGGTTGAGATTGCAAAGGAAGCCAGAATCTGGGAAATTTTTCAGAGAAGATGATCATATCAATTTTATTGATGATATTGTGCCTCAGATGTATTGCCAAGAAACTAGTGCAACTGTGTTCAAAAATTCTTTAATAGATGTTGAGAATTACACCCATCCGGATGAGAACTTTAGTGTATCATTTTGGAGGCATACAAATAATTTGGGGATTGAACAGGATAATATCAGGAAGAACAAGTTCAGTCAACGCGGTGGCACAGAGAATAATGTCTGTAAACGAAGTTCAAGAAGAAGCCACTCTGCTCCTCCTTTTTATCGATGTAAGAAGAGATTTGTCAGCTTAAGTTGTTCAGAGATAAAATCAAAAAACTCTGACCCATCTTGCTCTTACCATGTGTCTTCTTTCAAAGGTAGTTGTTCTTTGATATTTATTATTGCTCTAGATTTGATTATGTGGTTGAAGAGAAAATAATGTCCATTAACTTCTGCAGAACTCGATGATCTGTATTGTCAGACCCGATCTTCTGGTGCTTCTCATAGACATCCTGGGGGCAGCATTCTAAATGATGTATTATATCACCGCAGACAAGATACAGAAAAAAGACTGAGTTCTGCCTCGGACTTAGACGCGTCTAATGGTTGCAGGACTGTGCCTTCAGAGCCCAAAAAGGTTAATGGAATTAGAGGTAAACTTCTTCCAACAATTTTTTATGCCTCCAAATGGATAAATCCAAGACAATGTTACAAAGATGGGAGACATTTAAATTGTGAGCAAGCCTGAGATTTTTTAAATTATTTCCAGCTGTTGAGCAAGTGCTGTTCTTTGAAAATTTAATACATGGAAGTCCTTGCAATATTCCTTGCTTGGAAGAAGCATAGGGTTCCTCTTTCCATCTTGGGTATTTAACTCTGCTATTCTCATCTTCTAGACTTCATCTCTGAGGAGAGTCTGGATCCAGTGGAGCCCATAACGAAATGGCGCCATAAGCATCCAGTGACTAAGGTTCAGTTGGTTTAAGGGTTTTGGTTCTACCTAACAGCTGGAATCTATTTGTGCAGAAAATGACTTGGCAGCCATAATCATTCCCTTCCTATGCAGGTTTCCAACGGATATCATGAGTTCCAGGATATAGACAGTGTACTTGATATATCTTCTGGATTATTACACCGTCTGGGGGATGAATCCTTGGTCCCTGAGTCTATGAATAGAGATTCGCTTGAAGATGCTAAGGTTCTGCAACAGGTTGATAAGAAATTCATTCCAGTTGTTGCCAGTGGAATGCTTGCCATCATTGATCAGGTTCATTTTTAACCATCTATTCTCCTTGTCTTGCAGTTTTCTGTCTTAGATTCTCAACTCTATCTGAAAGACGGTGGATCATGTTAAACTTTGTAATACATTGGCAAAAGATATGATATTAGCGTTTACAATAGAAGTTCTGTTAACAAGTTAATGTGACGTTTTGCCTTTACTGTGCGGGCCTTATTCTGTCATTTTTCTTACAGCATGCTGCTGATGAAAGAATTCGCTTGGAGGAACTTCGTGAAAAGGTAGAAGGGTTTTGGAACTAAAGATAGCGAGGTTCATTGTCTGCTTGTATCAATTTGACCAAACGAAGAAAATGCATAGGTTCTGGCTGGGGAAGCGAGGACGGTGACCCACTTGGATGCCGAACAAGAGCTGGTGTGTTTGAACTCTGATACTTTCTCATGTCATTTGCAGGACTTAAATCATTTTTTCATGGTTTTATCTTAGATATCATCCACTGTTAATAACAGGCACTGCCCGAGATGGGATATCAGTTGCTCCAAAGTTATTCAGAGCAGATAAGAAACTGGGGCTGGATCTGCAATATTAATGCGCAAGGCACAACGTCCTTCAAGAAGTAATCGCTTTCTCTTTGGTCTTGCCGATCTGCAAAGCATAGTGATCTTCTACTTGGCTGTAAATACATTTGTACCCGTAGATTGTAGACCGTATTTTTTTTCATCTGATTTAAGTTCATGATTGTTTGCCTACAGGGACATGAGCATTATCCGACGTCAACAAAATCAAATCACGCTTCAGGCAGTTAAGCATCAAACACGAGCTATTTCATTTTCAGTTGTTAACGCTTATGCTAGTTGAAATCTGATGGAACTTCAGATGGGATTCTATATAGGAAAATAAGAAATAAAAGGGTTTTACAGCTACTTTGTCGGAACCGGCATATCCTAGACGTTCTAAGTTTTTCTTTGATCAACTCTTGTGATGATTTTATTAGTGAGTGGGAACCTCTTTATATAGAGGTATAAGAAAAAATAGAACCCTAAAAGTTTTAAGAAAAAACAATTAAAATAAAAGCTTTATATACAAACCCTAATCCTACGATTCCTACGTTTACTAATCTGGGTGGGCCCGGGGCCCATAAAAAATCTTTTTTTGGATTCATCAAATGCTGCATGGATCATCACTCTACTGAGGGTTCTGTTTACACTTGTTGTAGGTTCCGTGCATTTTGGGTGTAAATCTATCAGAAGATGATCTATCAGAGTTTCTTCAGCAGGTAATAAGCTCGAGAGTGCCTAAGCATTGTTCCTTCCTTACTTTTTAACTTCTTACTCTGCTTTCTCCGAAATCAGCTTGCAGATACCGACGGATCATCGACAATTCCTCCCTCTGTTCTTCGAGTCCTTAATTCTAAAGCCTGCAGAGGTAAGTACATTCCCGGTTTCTCCGACGAAAATCTCCATGAGAAGTAAACGTTCAGATAGAAGTCGGTCTTTTAATGAAGAGTCCTTTAACATCTCTGTTCTTCATATGATAACTTAAAAGGTGCAATTATGTTCGGAGATTCTCTGTTGCCCTCTGAATGCTCTTTAATCGTGGAAGAGCTGAAGCAGACCTCACTCTGTTTCCAGGTAAAAAAAAATATATATAAAAGCTCCACAATCTTTACAGGAACGGATAAAATGCTATGGAATTGATCTATTTGTACTATGCAGTGTGCACATGGTCGACCCACGACAGTTCCCTTAGTCAATTTGAAGGCACTTCACAAACAGGTGGCAAAGCTCAGTCCCAACCAGGCGTGGCACGGTTTGCAGCGTGAAGTCATCGCTCTTGGTCGAGCCAAAGCCCGTTTAAACGCTTCCAGAAGTTAACATGACTGGCCATTCACTGCACAGCTGCTTTCGATTTTGTTGTACACTTAGCCATATTTCACTTTAGAGTTGTTCTTTGTTGAATTCTGTAGATATCATACGTAGTCATATGTCCATAAAAGAACAATGTTTAGTACATTTTCTTCAGTAACGAAGGCGGATTCTGCTAATGTCATCTGTTAAAGAAGAAAAAAAAGCCTGTAATGTGCATTTTACTTACAGTAATGACTAATGGTCTATGAAATAACATACAGGTACTGGTAAATGACAAACGGTCCATGAAATAAGCCATGATGAGCTCACGCTTGGACTAATGATCATACATTTTCTCAATTAATGCGTCCTAGTAAAGTTTCCAAGACATTGTAATAAGCTATATAATAACTCCGTAAGCAATTCAGTCAAAGTAGAGAAAAAGCTGACTCGTGGAAGTCAGTGAGCCCGGTTAGCTCATGTCAAAACCTCACAACTTATGCTATACCACAGCAGAAGAATAGCCATGGCTCCTGAAGAAGGTATTGTCATCATCTTTCACATAAAGCAGACAGCCAAAGCAATCACCTACAAGCTTGGTAGGCTTCTGTTTCAGTACACTGGATTTTGTGTCTGATCTACCATGCTTTGCTGCTAACATTGTGATTCAGAGTTTGATGCAAAGCCCTTCACCTATATGGAACTTGTTCTTCAGTTAATATCTACATCTTGGCCTGAGTCGATAATAGAGCACAAAGCCTTCCAAATCGGGACCAACATCTTCATCGGTGGACGCAGTTCCTGAGTAAAGGTTTTGAGTTCACAATCGATGCAACACGAAACCACATGTCATTCTAGATTCTAGAATTGAACAACAATTGATAATTGGCAAAAGTCTTGAACTTGGCTAATAGGAAAAGGAGCAGATTACTACCCTCCCTAAATATGCAACTAATAATACCCTTCTTTCCTTTAATGGTTATTTCAATTGTCAATCAGGTAGATATTGAAATAAACAGGGGGCTTTACCTTAAACACCAATGTTAGTTGTTCCTCTCCACGCAGAAGTAAGGAGAGACTCCAATAACAGGTGACAGGGGTGACACATTCAACAAGCACAGGCTTCAATATCTTGTGAATTGGTATAAATCTGGAGACATATCTTCCACTGCAGAGACAGGGAACCCACAAAAACATAGAATGGAATGAGCTGAGATGATAGCTAAATTAGTATAACTACTACTGCCACCATTTACTACCTCTCCAGAAAGACACGGTTATGCTGCGATTAAAGCATCTTATCGAAAACAATAGAAAGCTAAAATGCTAAATGCGCAAAGTTTACCTTGAATAGTGAGTTTCAAGTTGGACTCCAAAGACTGGCATTATTATAACAGATTCTGGGCCACTCAAACAAAAAGTAGATTTGGTATGAAAACAAAAGGATGGTACATCTGATCAAAATCCAGGAACATGATAAATTAGGGTCTCACCTTTGGTTACAGACTTCTGAGACTTGAAGATAACAAAAGATCCACTTAAAAGGCAACTCCATGAAAAAATGATTGCGGGATTGTCCTGTTTTATGTGCATCAATTGCATGAGGAACGCTAAAGGGCAAGGCATTAACACATCAACCAAAGACAAAAAAACATGAATTATACAAAGATCATGTATTAACAGATTGCTCAAAACCATAATCAATCTTTCGTTCACTTCGACTGCATATTCCTAAGAGCCCTCCAAGAGAACTCTTACCGGAAATGGAAAAAATATGAATGTGTTGTCCATCATACTTACTGACGATAGAATACATAATTTATAAATGCCAACCAATAAACTGCAACAATTTCCCAGCAAATTTATATCTAAAAATCCAAATGGCATAAAGAAACATATCACTGAGAAGCATCCTTACCTTGCCAAACAAGAGATAAAGGGAACCGGTGACAAGAACCACCAAGAAAATGAACGAGAGGCAAGCCGTACAACCACTTGCTTTGCTTCTATTGATGAATACATGGTGAGTGTCAATGGCTCCCCCAGCTCGCTCACGGTCGTGCACGTAAGTGAATCTCCGATTACAAATAGACAGCTCGACCATTCTCATTCTTCGTTAGTCGAAGTTCTTTACAACACCATTGCCTATTCCTGCTCAAGTAGAAGCCTGCTTTAACACATGCCCACAACAAAAAAAGGGGGAAAAAAACAAACTTTGTGATAATTCCATGCAAGTTTCTTACTGGGTTCCAATCAAATCGGCAGATCATAGACTTCCTCCGCGGCTTATCGTCGAACAACTTGTCTGCAATATATCTATGTCTCTCCATTAACAAAAGCAAATCATAATCTCTCCAACTATCCTCGTACAATGTCCTTCATAAATCAAAACCCATATAAAAATTGAGAAAATAAAGAATTTTTCCGACACCAGCACAAGAAAAATCCCCGTGAGTGAGATTGAGACAACAAGAAGCATCGATGCGCCGATTTTACTTACCGGCGGACAGTTGTGATGTAAAGTGAATAATGAACGGATGAGATCTGTTTAATCAACGGTTTAGATTGTATCTGATTAAAAGATCAATTTTTATATTCCGACGGTTGAGATCGAAATTGTGTAATCACCGGTTGAGATCGTATCTAGAAAATTGACGGCTTTGAGGCGGAGCTTTAGTAATCAACGGTCTAGATCTAAGTATTCAAATTGATAGTTTGAGATTGAATGTGGTAATGAACGGTTGAGATCGATATTCACTGATCGACGGTCAGGATTTATTTTTCAGATGGAATAATGGACGGAGGAGATCTAATCTTGCCACAGGACACAATGCTTGTCACAACCCCCCCCAGACATCAGCAGTAGTTCATCATGTTCCAATGATATATATACATATATAAACTCGTGACCAGAAGATGTAAGATCACACAATGCTTCTCTGAACCAAGAACACTCCGGTCATCAGCCTGCCATGCCGAAATCTTCAACGTGGTCGTAAAGGTTGTAGCTTTCAGGCAGTATCATCTTGCCCGCGAGAACCTCCTCCTCCTCCCCCTCCTCCCCTGCAAAGAATCTGATCATCAAAATCCGATAGCTCGTTCTCGTTGCAAGATAGATTGCCTTTTTTTATGTGTTTAGGCCTTCAAAATATCATCTTTACTCGTGTGATCTGACGTTTTATCGCAAATCGCTGCCAGACCCGAGAAAGAATGCATAACGAACTGACTCTTTTAGATGTGTCAGAGACTCAGATGCTATCCTTACTGAAGTACGAGGGAAAATGAAAATCTATCTGCATACTTGTGTTTGATAAAACTCCAAGCAAGTGAAGTTCTGAGTTCATGTCATCATGGCTCTGGAAGCAATCCTCTGGTGTTGGCCTGTGAGTCGTTCCTGCTCCAGCCTTGTTGTTGATGTTGTGTTGAGGCTGGAAAAGATTCTCGGGTCTCGTTCTCTTCTCGTTCGACAATTCCACTTCAGTCTCCACCTCCGACTCGCCGTTGTTGTTGTTGTTGTTGTTCGAGGAAGCAGCAACATGATGTTTCCTTTTAGACCGAGCCCGCCTGTTCTGAAACCAGTTGTATACATTTGTTTCGGAAATCTGACCGTGTTGACTCAGTTCCACCGTGATCTCCTTGATCTTCTGCTTGCTCGGGGTCCCGTTGCCTTGATCAAATATCCGTTCGAGAATCTGCAGCTGGACAGGGGTGGGAGTCCACCGTTGTCTTGCTGTCATCCTGTGACCGGAAGATGGCATTAACGGATCTGAATACAGGCATCCCAACCTTCCTCCTGCGCCATCAAAAAAAAAATGGAAGATCGTTTCTCCATCTCGAGATCTGCAGCAAAATGGTAATGTCTCTTCGAGGAAAGAACTGTCCGAAGAGCGGATTGGACTGGAAATGAATGAGAATTCGGCAGCTGAAGTTGTAATCAGCCGCACGAGAATAGCCTCCTCCACTTTGAATGAATTTGGGAAATAAAGAATGCCATATCCAATCAAATTGTGGAAGATAGCTTGGCAAAAAGCACGAGAATTCGAGGTTCAGTCTCCGTTCAGGGGATTCAAACACGGCATGAAGGGGGAAAAAATCAACAGCAGAAAAAGATACCTTGGTCTGTTCTATATGAACAAAAACCCCAAACCCTTGATCAAGTTTTCGATCACTGAAATTGCAGACTCGATAATCACTTCTTTCGGCACCAGTTTCACGTTCCAACTCAAACCCACAAAGGGTTTGCCCTTTTGCATCAAAGTCAAACCAAAATTTCGCCAAAAAGCCACAATTTCCGATAACCCTAGAGACCCATTTGCCCAAAGCCACAAAAGGAGATAAATTTTCAACTAAAAGAAGAACCTTTATTTCTCGGAGAGGACGAGAAAGAGATAGATAAGAACACTAAGGAGGTGAAAGCAGTGTTAGAAAGAAGGAAAAGAAACCTGCGAGATCCTGCTGAGCGGTGAGGGTTCTGTGCATTTCAACGAGGCGCTCGCAAATTGTGGAATAAATGGCAATCTGCTTTCTAAGAGTCTCGAGCTGCTCGTCCGTCATCACCTTCACGTACATTCCTCCGCCATTAACGTCGATCCGATGAAGATTGGGAGTGTTCTGATTAGTGGGTTGTTGCCGATTATCCCATTCCATCATCGTAATCGTCAGAATTTTTGATTTTTTGAAGTTAAAATCTTCTCGTTGTTCTGTTTCTGCGTGTGTAAATGAAGGAAACAGGGGAAGGTATGTGCTTTTTCAGGAGCAGAGGAAAAGTTTGAAGCAGAACAGGACAAAGATGCTGAAAATTTTATTAGCAGAGAGAGAGAGAGAGAGAGAGAGAGAGAGAGAGAGAGCAGATGAAGAAGAAGAAGAAGAAGAAGAAGAAGAAGAAGAAACAGACAGCATTTCAGCAGAACAGTGAAAATGGTTACAATGATGGAGGTTTGGTGTGATGCCTTTGCCATAAAACAAACGACCATTTGATTCTATTTATGGAATTAACCGTTTTATGTTTTGTGTAATTACTATTTCATCTTTGCTATTTTTCTATTACATTATTTATTTATATATATCCTTTCCTTTCCCTCTTTTTTTATTTCTAAAAAATTCGCTATATGAAAATGTTTTCCAGTAAATTGGTTACTCATTAATTAAAAATGGTAAAGACAAATATCGGACACATTAAAACGTTCAATCTCTGAATTTATGTCTCTCTTTAAAAAAAAAATTGCCCGTAATATCTCTTTTTTATTTTGCCAAAAAAAAAAACATAATTTTGGGACAAAATGAAATGTAAACACAGAATATGATTATATTTTTACAAACTTGAAATTTGGAGTTTATTTATGGAATAATGTTTTGAAATTTGAAATATATAAATACTTTCCAATATTCTCATGTTTTTTTTTTGGAAAACAAAAGTATCTCTTTTGTAGATGTGGTAATTATAGAATTAGTCGTCTAATTATGGTATTAGCCGTTAAAATAATTAACATATAAATTGATGTATTGAGTAAATGTTGATGAAAGAACTAACGGGAAAATAAAAAATCTTAAACAAACCTTAAACATCTTTTAAAAAAATTAAGGCTTTGAATGATAGATCATTTTTATATTGAGTTTTTGGATTTAGTTTTAAGTTTTTGGTTATAAATTTTTTATTTTGCGTGTAATTTTTTAAACTTCAAGAGATGAGACAGATCATTCTCAATGTGCAATTCAAATAAATATATTATTAAAATTTGCAAAGAGAATCATTAAAAATTTAAAAGCATTCCCATTAATATTACAACGTTAAATTAAAATGTAATCGTCTCAATTAAATGCCACGTGGCTTGAAGACATTGAAACCTCCGTGGTGTCGGTCGGTGTCCGCCGCCCACATTCCACGGGCATTTAGATTTTAAAAATATATTTAGTTTGTCTTTAATTTATATTTTGTATATATTAATTTATATTATTCATTCTTAAGAAACATATTTATTTGTATTCAATTTTTTTTTAAAAAAAATTGTTTTTTCTGTTTTAACATTAAAAAATCGATTTTTCAATTAAATTTTTATATTGTTTCAATTAGTTTTCTATATTTAACTGAAATACCCAACCATAATCGTGGATAACCCATGCAATAAATATTGTTCTAAAAATCTATTTACAAAGCCTTTTGAAAATTTTATCATCAGATTTTGAAATTTTGGGACCATAATATAAAATTTGAAAATTACTAGTTCACTATAGTACGTATATATACGTGTATGTATATAATTTTATCGTGTTTGTGCGTATGAATATGTGGAAGATAAAAGAAGGGACAATTAGGGGCTTGTCGTTTTCTGGATAAACAGTATCTAACGAACATGGAACTCAACTTAATACATATATATATATATATATATATATGTGTGTGTGTGTGTATTGAAGATCATTGTGGTGCATGCATTTCTCGAATTTGTCAAAGGCTACTACCAATTTAGAACATTAATTTGATTAAATAATTTTTATGTATACTATCTGGCCTGTTTTGGTCAAAAACTCGAAAGCTGTATGATATGGTTATCATTAGGGATGTGTTTATAAGAAAAAAAAAACAATGCGAATATTAGTACTATTATAATAAATTATAGTTACAAAAAAGGATAGCTAAAAAAGTGTAAAAATACAAATTAAAAATAACAAGGTATGGAAAAAAAAAAAGAATATACAATGATGTGAAGAAGATTTAGTAAATAGTTGGAATCATATGGGATGAGGAATATATATATATATATACACACACATATATGTTCATAAATCCATTGGATTCTATGTGGCCAATGTTCTTTGGATTCTTCCTTGAAATAGAGAGTTTGGTGTACCTGCAGACTTTTATTCCATATTGTCAGATTTCATTACACACACACATATATATATATATATATATATTGCCTTGTTAATATTTTTCTTTATTTTGTGTTTTATTTTAATAATAAGTTCCCATTTCACTTCTAATTCATATTGCAGACTGATCAATTTGATCACTAAACATAGATTCAACATACATTCCAACATAATATTACCACAATATCGAGTATTTAAAATCCACTTTTTTCTATATTATTTTCATAATTTCGCAAATTTCTTTTCATGGCCTAATAATGGTTTTTTTTTTGTTCTTACTCTTAATTTTTCCTTTTTCCTTTTTTATCACCATCGCCTTGAAATTGCAATTGCATGCATACTAATGAGCTAAACCCTCTATTTTTAAAATTTAATTTCAACCATAGATTATAAATTATTCAGAAAAAAAAATCGTATATAAATACTTAAACTTTTATAAAAATCCTAGATAAATATAAATTTCTATATAAATATCTGAATTTTTCTAAAATCTACATAAATATCTAAGCTTTTAAAAAACTCTCAAATGAATCCAAAATCCGTTAATGATATCACCTATTTTATTTGAAAAATATCTAAAATTTGAATTTATTTAAAATTTTTTCCAAAAGTCTAAGTATATATATAGAATTTTTAAAAGTTCAAGTATTTATATAGAAGATTTATAATTCAGGTATTTATGTGAGATTTTTATAAAAGTTTAGATATTTATATGTTATTTTCTCAATGATTTATCATAAACTTGAAATTAACAAAAAGCTAAGTACTCTTACTTTAATTATTGACGTTTGGTATCTGTAGTCATTGTCATATTCACCAGTTGGTCTATATAGATTATGATTTTAAGTAATGCCTGCTCGTTTCTTGCATATGCAGATTTATTAAAATTTATATACGTTATTGTGCAATGTGTAAACCCATTTAAATCTATATTTTCTTTCAATTTTAGTAAAAATAAATAAATTTACTGGCTCAAGAAACCTGTTGTTGATTGTGATTTCTTGTATTGCAAGCAATATATATATATATAAGCATATATATTGCAGATCCTATAGGAGATCCTCAACAAGATCCGCCATTATCAGATCTTCAACCTCTCTTCCCAACACTTTGACTTCATCATCAATCAAACCATTCCACGAACTGCTTCCCAAGTCCCAGGCCATGATTCCATCCAATGAACAGAAGAAGGGCTTATCTGTCTGAACATACAAGCACTCCGACATGATCTGCCACGTTTCCTCCAATAGGTGTTTGCCACGTAGAGGTATCAACCCAGATGAATTCATGTCTCTTCTCCTCAAACAGGGCTTTGTCTCCTGACTCCCAAGCACAACTGCGAGCGCTTCGTTTAGCAGATCGAACAGTATGTAATGATCTGTTTCTGCTTCAGCTTCCATAGCTCTGTCCTCTGAGTTCTGTTTGGTTCTTCTTTCTCTGTGATTCTCTTCTGTTTCTTGGAAAACAGACTTGTTCATGGGTTCTTTGTCTGATGTCCCATGGTACAGACCAGAAGCTACAAGTAGATCTCTAACAAATGCTTTGTCCATATTCGTAAATTCGACGAATTCAGGCTCGTGATTAGCTTCTCGTTCGACTGGTGTATATTCCAGCTCTTTTATCTGCCTATTTTCCTCTGCCAATAGTTGAAAAGATTGAAAATAAAGTGGATCATAACACTTGATGAATGCAGAATTTCAAGAACATTGAAGTTGCAGAGCTACAAAGTTGGTTGAACAGACGATAAAAAAGAAGGATTGTTTTCGTACCATTTAGATTGGAACCGATATCTCTGAAGATATCCGGTGTGGAAGCCGGGCTGAGATCATCGATGTTCCTCCAGAACTCTTCTGGATTGCTGCTGAAGACTGATGCTGGGCTTGGAGGCACTTCTGTCGAATTTTCCTGAGAATAAGAGAAAAGTTTTTTGATGAGATGAACAGGCCTGAATCAGTGAAACACATGACAGAAGAATCTTAAAATCTTACATTTCTGTTGTGAAAGCTTGTAAATCTCGAGCCGGTGAGGAGATCTTTGATGTATTCGTCCTCAAAGCTGTTTGATTCCATCTTTGAACGTATCTTCTTACCGAAGATCCTTCTGCCTCCAAGAGATGATCTGAAGTTGGAGACTTTCTGTCTGAAATTGAATCTCGTTTTCCTCCGGATGAGTCCATTGGCTGATTCTTGTTCTGCCGCTTCATGCTTTCTCCTGATCTGTGCGCCTGTTAGAACATGTCCGTCTTCTAACAGAAGCTTGCCAAATGATTTCCCTGAAACTGGAGCTGATAATGACCTGATGAGATTCCTGGGTGATGAATCTTTCTCACCAGAAACTCGATCTTCAACACCAATGACCCGCCTTTTCATGTCTTCTCGGCCACCTGCTTTCAAGATTTCCCGAGTTTCTTTCAACCTTCTTCCGACACAAACCCTCTTCTTCATGTTTCTTTCAAGAGGTCTTCCTTGGATTTCACTCCCGAGACGGTCCTTGACTTCCTCGAGAAACTCTTCTATCCTTCCTCTGCTCCCTCCCGTCGTACTTGGTGACGTTATCGACCAACCTTCACAGTCATTAAACCTATAAGGACCGGGCTTCAACACCACTATCTTTGTCGGGGACCAGTCAGACTTCAGGTTAAACTCACGGCCAAAGCTTCTGGTTCTTCTGAAAAGTCTGTCTTTCTGGTCAGAATCGCATCTAAGATCATCCATCAAGCCATATTCTCTCTGTTTCTTGCAGTTTCCATATGTATGATCGGAATCTACTACACGAGAACATTCTTCGAATCTTGCAGCCTGCCAAACCAGAAACTCTTTCTTGAACCTCTGCAGCTCCTCTTCTTGAGGATGCTCCCTAGGGTTTGGCTTATCGAATCTGTCACAGTACAAGGATTCAGTTTCCATTTCTTCCGAGATAGCAACCGTTCTCTTCCCTTTTCTGCTTCTTCTTCCTTTCTCATCCTCCACAGAAAGGTTCATCATGGCGGCTAACTTAAGCTCCAATGGCGGGGCATCAAATCCCATAAGCTTCGCCACTATGCTTGGTGCATTCTGCTTCTGGTTTGACCTTTTAAAGAGTTCCATCCTCCTCTCGCACCATTCTTGTTCAAACCCATAACTCAGCTGAATCGTTCAGAAACAAGAAAAACAGATGACTTCACTGTATCATTTCCAGTTTCTTTTTCAAATTCAGACACTCTCAGTGTAAGAATTTAGTGTTATTACCTGAGTATCTTTCATCTCACGGCATTTCTGAAAGTTCTGCACTTGCAGCTCAAAGCTATTTCTTGGAGCATCATGGCCTGACAAAAAAATAGAAACAGCAACAAAAAAAAAAGGATCAAATCCAGGAACAAGACTCAACCCAACTCTGTAATAACGTCGAACACTATATATTCACCTCCATCGCGATTCTTCTGCCAGAAAACTTTCCTCGCAGAATTGTTGCCATGAAAATCGAAGAGATGCATTAAGCTTGGCATTCTCTGTCCACGGGATCGCCGAGGGAAAAAAGAGATTCTCAAAGAATGAGGATGGAATTTTCGATCTGAACCATAAAGAGATTATCCTGCAGAAGACAAACAGAATCAGGATCCGACAACGAGGGTCGGGTCAACTTCGGCAACTAAATCGATGACGCAGAAAAGAAACAGAGCAAACCACGAATCGAAAGGCTTTAATGATCAGAATCCAGAAAACAGGAACCCACGTGATTAACAGAGGGGAGAGGATTTAATGGGTTTTCTCGAGAATGGAGAAGAAATTCTCGGGGAAGTGGAGGTGTGTAAAGGAAGATGGAGAGTTGAGACGAAAAGACAGAGGGTACAGTTGAGAAAAAGGGAAGGAAGCAACAGAGGAAAGTCATCGTTTTCGGACAGAACTCTAATGCCGAGGAAACTGCAGAAACAACGCAATGAAACACAAGTCGCTTTCTCACGTTTTGGGAAAACGAAAATGGAATTTCTGGAGAGAGAGAGAGAGGTTGAAGAAAGAAACGTGGAAATTCAATTCCACCATTCCATACGATCACGCTCTGTGGACGTTTGGCGGAATCGGTTTGGGTTTGGGACGTGAATGAATGGATTCGGTTTTGTTTGGTTTTACAAAAATAGATACCGATTGGTTTTTATATTATATTCGGTTCGGTTTTAGTTTTTATTAAAAAATAGATTTCTTTTAAAAAAAATTGGTTTTAAAAAATTTTAAAATTCGGTTCGGTTCGATTCGATTTCGAGAAATTCAGTTTTTTTAAAAATAATACCTTTCAAAAATTTAGAGCGATTCAAATCGGAAAAACATCGTATTTTTCGGTTCAATTCAGTTCGATTCCTAATAACCAAATCGAGATACTTACCCTATTCGTGATATTAATATATTATGTTTTTTTAATATTTATTACTGGTTAATATAGTGTATTTATTATATATAGGGGATGACTTTATGATTTAATATTTTAATAATTATTAAAATGTGGCTTACTTTTTGAAATATCATCTTTAATACAGGTTTCTAAAATAAGCAAACTTAGAAAACCGATCGGAGCTCGTCAGCGATCTCTCCGAAAGATTCTTTCACTTAAATGTTTTTTTATTTCATTTTTTATTAATTAATTAGAAGGAAAGCTAAATAACAAAAAGGGCATTAAAACTTTCCATAATAAAGTTCAGTAAATACAATAATTCAAATGCAATTACGAAGAATATACAACAAAATTCGATTGAAATAAAACTTTTATAACAGCTTGTGGACGCTGTTCGTGTTAAGCATAGATGTTTCGGTTTCATATAAATTGTATTTTTATTCAAATTATTTACTTTTAAAAAGTTTATATATTCAAATTTTTATCCTGCATTTCGTTAAGTTAGTATATTCGTTTTCTACGAATTTGTATCCGGAATATAATATTCATTTTCTACGAGTTTTATATTTCTTTAATGGTGATATGCCGCTTATGAAAACACTGTATGGTTCATATATATATATATATATATATATACGCAACACATCCGTTATACGAATCATATACTAATTTAGTTTTTTAAAACTAAAACTATCTGTTTGTATTTTAATTTCTTTCTGCATGTAAAAAATGAGTGTTAGATTTTTATTTTTTGTTAATCAATTAAATTTTACTATTTTAAACTACTGCTAAATTTAGCCACATCTATGATCCTATATACTTCATAAAACATCAATTTAATTTTCCATGAAATATCGAGTAAATATATTACTAAATAATTCAAAAAACAAGTAATTCTACCTTTTTTTTAAAAATTATTATAATGGAAAAGGTTCAGCATATCCAAAGCATGGAATCATTCTTTTGGTTGATATAGGCTTCAATGTCGATATTGTGTATAAACACTCTATGGTTCATATATATATATATATATATATATATATATAATTCACCTTTTTACCAAAAAAACATGTTATATTATATATATACACACAAACAGATATAGATATTAATCATGCACATGTGTGTATATATATTATATTTAACGATAAGATGGATAGATACATTTATCTTATTCTGGGTTAAAATGAATTTATTTATACCCAATTTCAATCATGTAAATCATTTCCATGTTATATAAAATGATTGGGCTGGGCCCTAAATGGATATATTAATGGGCCTGACTGTAAGCGATGGAAAGCCCATATGCCCAATATAATATTTGTAGGCCCTAAAGCCCAACGCATCAGATAGTTCCTCTTCGGATTACCGGTTAAATTATTCAAGTTTGGATCTTTCTATGTTAACTTAATAATTAGTTGTTAAAAGTGTTTTATATGCTAATTAATGTTCCCATAAGAATATTAATATGCATTCCACAAACAAATAGGATTCTCTCTTTATTGACTGTATATTTGTTTCTTAGAATTAAACTTAAGAGAATCGTCTCATTTTTAGTAGATGATAAAAATGATAGGGAAAAAGGATATTTTAATTAAAAAAAGAGGATATTTTAATTATCATTACTAATAAATATTTAATAATAAACTAATTTTAAATTTTAATTCGTAGAGATCACACTGTATAGAAACTAGACTTTCGTAATATACATGCAGACGCGCACAATTATAAATACACGTAATTCATTTTTTTTGGTAAATACACGTAATTCATAATTTACGGACAGAAAAAAACAGAATAAGAAAGTTTGTTTTTTTTGGACATTGATATAAAAGGAATGTTATTTTTTTTTGTTAATTTTACATGAATCATTTTAAACAATTAAGTCTAATATTATATACGTATGAGCATTATTATGAGATGAAGTATTTAAAATGTTAAAACCAAAAAAAAGTATTTAAAATGATAATTAAAGAACGGTTTTTTTTTTTGCCACTTTATAAAAACCGGCAACTAACCGTTACTTCTCTCTCTCTCTCCCTCCCCGTTGTCGTAGGGATCGAAACAGAGTTCAGGTCCTCTGCAAGACCTCGGAGTCAATCCAGAGTTCCTGTCGGTGTCTGTTCATCGATCGTTTCGTGGATTTGAATTCTTCGATCGATCCCCTCGCGGCTCGAGAATATGTTCGTCAAGAAGTTTGTCGAGAAGTCAACGAAGAAGGTAACCAGCACTATGATTTTGAGTTCATGTCTTTCCAGTTTTTGAAATTTGATCCAATCAATCTGTTCGAATTCCGCATATATATACATATAAATATATATATGTGTCAGCATGTGTGTACACACCTGTTTCTGCGATCGATCTTCGAGGAAAGCTTCTCTTCATGATTCAGCTTTTTAAAATTCTTCCTTCTGGAATTCCCAGAATCCGATGTTCGATCGGATTTATTAGTTTATTTGTTTTTCTTAAATCTGTTTACTCGTGATTCGGTAAACTATTTAGGACCGAACAGAGTTGGAATTCCTTGACCCGGACCGGTTATACCGATCGAACCGGTTCGGTTTGGTATCTTCCCATATGATCGATTCCGGTATCGCCTTTAGGACAAAACACAGAGTATGTAATGTAGTCTGAAAATTCTTACCGATGTTTACACCGTTGCAGCCCGGAGGGAGCTTGCCGGAAGGCCTGAGAGCCAATGACGTTGAACCACGTGTTGTTTTCCATTACGGAATCCCGTCGGGATCTTGCATGTTTGGTTATGATCCGATTCAGAAGATTCTCGCAGTTTCCACAAGGTAAGAGGCTTGATCAAACACTTTGATACGAAGGTTGTCTGTATGGTTTTTGAATTAACCAACTTGGGATTTTCACTTCTTTTCCGCCTTCGTTTTAGGGACGGTAGGATCAAATTGTTCGGGAAAGATCACACACAGGCTTTACTTGTCTCGGAAGAAGCCTCGACGACCAAGTTTCTTGATGTCTGTATTCTTCTCTCTCTCTCTCTCTAGTTTTTGTTTTTGAATATGATCACATGGAGCGAATCTATCTTCCGGATTTGCAGTTTGTTCACAACCAAGGCATTCTTCTCGTCGTCAATGTCAAGAACAGGATTGAGGTGTGAACTTCTCTTGTCTTGTATTATAAGTCTTGTTTTGTCGTGACAAGAGGTCTTTGAAGCTGTTAATGATGTAGGTATGGGACATAGACAAGAAGCTTCTGTCTCATGTTCATGTTTTCAACGGGAAGATCACCTCTTTTCGAGTTATGCAGGTTATTCCCTACTTGTAAGTCTCGATATCAGAATCCCTGAATCTGCATATTTTGGCTGCTTATAATGACAAAGCATCTGAATTCGGAATATCAGCAGTTATGTCGGAGATTCCTCTGGTAATGTAACAGTGCTGAGGCTTGTCCCGGATTCTGGTAAGGTCGTACAGATGGATTACACTATACCTTTTGTAGCATCCAATGGTAAAGTCCAAATCTGAAAACTTTTAACTTGTCAGAACTCTTCTATACCTCAACTCACTTGTTGTTGTCTTGTCTCCTCGTAGGATCTCCTGGTGACACTGCTGTGATAAACATTCTGCCACAACCAATGACTGAGAGAGAGAGGTACATACATACATATATGTATGTATATGTTTTCTCCATGGGAATGTTACTTCACAGTTCACACTCCATGTTTCTACAAATGCAGGATCCTGCTGATATTCGGAAACGGGGTTATAGCATTGTGGGATATTACCGAAAGCAGGCCTATTCTGAAGATGGGAGGGCACGGGATTCAGTCGGCGCAGCACCAAGATATGAAGAAAGCCACTAGTGCTTGCTGGGTTTGCCCTCTCGGAAGCAAAGTTGTGGTCGGATACAATAATGGCGATATCCTGATATGGAGCATTCCTTCCAGAGGTGGATTCCACTCGGAGAATAGAACTCAACCCTCTATTATTTGCAAGCTTAACCTCGGTTACAAGTCTGAGAGGATTCCCATAGCTTCTCTGAAATGTGTCTATGGGGAGGGAAAGGCAAGCAGGCTTTATGTCATGGGTTCGTCTTCAAACCTGTTGCAGGTAAATCCATGTCTTGTCCGAACTAAAGAACAATAAAGTGGTTATATGGACTTATGAGACCAGGAATGTGACATCCTCTGCAGGTGGTGTTACTGAATTCGCATACAGAGACTCGTACGATTAAGCTGTGGATTCATGCTTCAGAGCCTTGCATTGATATGGAGATCATTACAGATGTTACCGAGCATTACAGAGACAAACGGGAATATCTGCTTGTGCTGGGAAAATCCGGGCGAGCGTATGCTTATGACGACTTTATGATCGAGAAGTATCTGGTAGCGTCTCAATCAAAGTCGCTACCTTCCTCCCCGAAGGAGATTATGGTTAAGATTCCATTTGCAGAATCTAGCATCACGGTGGCGAAACTCCTTACCAACTCTTCACACATACTGAATACTTCAGACGAAGTACCTTCTGATCTTTCTCACTGTACTGTATCTGTATTATGTCGATGTTCTCAATCTTGTCTGAAAAATGAACAACTTGGCCGTGTGATTTTCCCATGCTTTCAGGAATATACCCAGTTGATGAAAAATTCTACTCCGGTTCTTCCTTTTCAGACAGTTCCAAAGGAAAGAACTCATTCGAGCACTGCACCTTTTCCCGGGTTCACAAAGGTTAAGAATGTTTTGATCACAGGTCACAGCGACGGAACTATCAGTATCTGGGACATGTCTTGTCCACTTCTCCTCCCTGTCCTGTCCCTGAAAGAACAGGTAGCTTTTAGCACGTTTTTTCAGATCGTGCGAATAATCTGAAAGCATTTCGCCTTCTATTGATCAGTTCTTTTTTCTCTTGCAGACTGAACAAGATACCTCTTCACGAGGCACGGCCTTGACAGCTTTGCACTACGATAGCAAGACCCGGCTCCTTTTTTCCGGCAATCAGAAGGGAACGGTAAAACACATGGCTAATATACGCAATGGAGTTGCATCCGGTAGTGGCTTATGATAAAATTTAAACATGTACAGGTTTACATATATAAGTTTAAACCCGAGCCATATGCTACAGAGAACGGCTTTATTCCCTTCCAAGGTGGTGCATAACCATATAACCTGTGATTTACCTAGTACACATATGAGTTGCTTCGATGTCTAGGAGTTATCTCTCGCTGTTTTTTTCTGCCTGCAGGAGGTTTAAAGAAAGGAAATAACCATATTGTTCACAGTGTTAAGCATATAAAGCTCAATGGTTCCGTAACCTGTCTGCAGAAAAGCCAAACCTCGAGACATCTTGTTGTTGGATCCGACCAAGGACATGTAAGCTTGTACTTTTTTCCCCCTCCTGTCTGGATGGATTTCATTCCATTGATGTACTTGTTTAAATGAAATCACTTGCAGGTTTCTCTGGTAGATGTAGAGGAGTTAACTGTGTTGTACCAAAAACATATCGGGAGCGATATCTCCCCAGGAATCATCTCCTTGCAATTTCAGACTTGCAGTCTGCAAGGCTTCGAGAAGAACGTGTTGGTGGTTGCAACGATGGATTCTTCGGTTTCCGCTCTCGATGTCGGCATGGGAAATATGGTCGGAGCTAACGTGATTAAGCCTAAGAAACCGTTCAAGGCTTTATTCATGCAGATCTTGGGTAGGTCCTTCACCTGTTCGGTTTGGTTAACATGCCATGGTATGAAGATGCTCTATCATATCTCCATGTCTGGTGCAGACAAGAGGGATGTTTCTCCAGCAAATGGTTCGGACACGGTCGAAGACATTACACCGAAACAGGCTTCTGTCTTGCTTTGTTCAGAGAAAGCTGTATATATCTACTCCTTGTCACATGTTGTCCAGGTAACATACGTTACCTATCTCAAATTCTTTCCCCTTTTTATTTCCTTATAGTGAGATTCATTCCCTTCTCTTCTGTTTTTCTTTTCAGGGAGTGAAGAAGGTTCTTCACAAGAAAAAGTTTGGTTCCTCCTCGTGTTGCTTTGCTTCTACTTTCTCTGGTGCTTCCGGTGTCGGCCTCACGCTCGTTCTTGCAGACGGGACAGTTGAGATAAGGTGACAACTCTCTGTCACTTCCTTCGTTTCGTCATTCTTCCCAGCGTTTTCAGACAAAACCAACCTCAAGATCCGTCTCTTCAGGTCCTTGCCAGAGCTGTCCCTACTAAAGCAAACATCCATTAGAGGCTTCACTTACTCGTCTCCTAAACCAAACTCGTTACCAGAAACTGTGATATCCGCTTCCTGGGATGGAGATTTAGTCATGGTACCGCCTTCAGAACACGCTGCAGAGAACTATAAGTTGGAATTTCTCGTCTTCTGATAAATCTTCGTCTCCCTTCAGGTGAATGGAGACCAGGAACTTGTAGTCACCTCGGTTTTACCGCGAAGACACACCTTCAGGCAATAACTTATCTGAACTCCGATCATCTGTCCCAAACATAAATCATTACCTGAAACTGTCATTTTTTGTTGTTTCTTTCAGACATTTGGATTCAATCAGGCAAGTCTTCAGACAAGGTGTAGCTGCTGATCGTGACGATAAAGTGTCTGTGTCCGTGTCCATGCCCATGGCTGCAAACCCCGCCAAGGAAAAGAAGGTAGAGAAACTCGAAAGAGGCTTTCGTATTATCTCCCTCCGCCCGTCTCGTGTAACAGTTGCCTTTTGTTTTTCCGCTTGTCTTGAAAGGGTATGTTCGGTTCTGTCTTTGGGAGTGGTAAACCAAAGCGGGCATTCGAGACAGAAACAGAAGACGCCAAGGGAAGTGTCAAGGATCTGTCCAAAAGCTTTTCGGAAGCCAACTTCCCGTGGAACGTTAACAAAGAGGGAAGGACACTGGAGGATGAAACACAGTTGGACATAGGTAAGGTTTTTTAGCCGAAGTTATAAATGTGTTTGTGCTCGTGTTCTGAGATTCTTGCACGTGTGAAGACGACATCGAGCTAGAGGATCAGACGGAACAACGGAAAGAACAGGGAATGCTGTCGGGGATTAACAAGCAGAAGCTGGCGAGCAAATTCATCACTTCCTTCAAAGGTCGGTTGCATCAAAGCGATCATAATCCCGATATCTCGAAAACCTGATGAACAAGAGAATGAGTCATGCAGGGAAGCTGAAGCAGAAGAAGAAGGAGAAGGTGGTGAAGAGCGAGACGAGTACGAACAACGAAGAGAAATGCAGCAATGCGGTCGATGAAATCAAGAAGAGATACGGGTTTTCGCCATCCGGTGTAAGGCTCCGAGCCTCGGGAAAAAAAAAGTTCGTAGGACGAAACTTTTCGATAAGTCGGATTCATTTTGTGTGTGTGTGTTCATTTGCAGGCGGCTGGAGCGGCGAGAATGGCGGAGAGCAAGCTGAAGGACAACTTGAGAAAGCTGCAGGTAGCGTTTGTTGAGTTTCACATCTCTTTTGTTAAGGTTGTAATGTTCTTTCATGAAATGGTTGATGAATTCTGTCGTGTATTTTTTTTTGGGGCAGGGAATCAGCCTGAAAACGGCGGAGATGGAAAACACTGCAATGTCGTTCTCCTCTACAGCAAAGGAGTTGCTGAACGCTGTCGAGCAAAATCAACGAAACCCTAAATTGTTTCTCTGATAATTGGACCGCCCTGTAAATAACTCCTGCAAATATACATATATATACAGTTTTTCTGAAATATAAGCATCACCCGCAATAATGAAACCTGATGATGAAGACACTGGATTGACCAGCGAATAAGCCAGATGCGCGGGCAGTGTCGCGGTCCAGGATGAATCTCGAAGACTTGTATAACATCCGAAAACTTTGGTCCTAAATTCGAACGGTTCGGATTCTAAAGCTTTGAAATCAGATCACATATCGATTCAGATATCCAAAATGTGAGAATAGAGCATTTTTTACTCGACCACCAGGAAAATTATGACTAGAATCAACCCTTGAAAGACAAAAAAAAAAAAAAAAAAAAAGGAGAGAGATGCGCCATTACAAGAACCAGGGGAGAGAAAAAGACTGACATGACAGCATAAGCTTATGGAAGCCAGTGGCTATTCCTTTCGCTATGAACGGGACAAAGAGGGAGAGAGAGAGAGAACAAAAAACACTTGGACGAAGAAAGTCAACCAATCGAACAGCCTGGGATAACAGAAAATGACAAAACACAACAGCGAAACAGCAGCAGACAGATGGCATGTGATATGATAGACCCAAACAAAATGAATGATTCTATATTCCCTGGGATACCCGAAGAAAGGAAGATGACAAATCAAGACAATACCATAACCAGAAATGAAGCTCGGATTAAAAAAAAAAAAACCATTTTCAAGAAACACCTAAATCCATATCCATAGTAACACCAGATAAGCTTCATATCCTAAGAAAACGCATAACCGTTTTCATGTCTGTTTTTTTAATCAACACTAAGCAACTTTACACAAATTGCCCATCCATCTTCACCTTGAGTTTATCTGTAGCAACACCTAATCATCGTCTTCCTCCTGAAACCAAAGAGGGCTCAGGTCAAATCTCTAAGGAAACACAGAGAATACACGACCGAACTGAATCAACATAAGCAGTGAATCAAAGCCAACCTCTTCGCTTCCTCCTTCCTCATCGTTGACTTCAGACTTGGACTTGTCAGAGTCATCATCTGCTGTGTTGGCTCCTTCGGCCTAAAGCATAGCACAAAAAGCCTATGATAAGACTGTTTTTGCTGACGGAAGGTGAAGACAGAAACCCCATCTCAAGAAAGTCAAAAAGCGAACTACAAATTATTCCTACCAGTTTCTTGTTGTACTGTTCCATATTCTTCACATATTCACTCTTTCTGCTCTCCGCCTTGGAGACATAAGGAGCTTTGTCCTGTTTTATTGATTTGGACAGCCAAAATCTGAGCACAGATCCACCAATCGTATGGTAAAACAATCGAACACAAGAAGGACTACTCACTTCCTCTGACATGGATTTCCATTTATCTCCAGCAGCCTTACCAACCTGATTTTCAAATTCAATCCGAAACATAAAACCTATAACCTCTCTGACAAGCTCAAATCGCGATTTCAAACTATGTTCGACACAATTGCACATAGATCACGAATGTCGCAGGACTACTTACAGCAGCGACGGACTTGATCTTAGGGTTTGCTTTGTTGAACTCCGGTCGGAACTCCTCCCTTCAATCACCGAAACCGGAAAACACAACGAACTATATAGAAAAACATCTACACTAAAATCGTATAGGAAAAAACTTGCAACTAGAGGATATTTCTGATTTACAGGAAGACGAAGAAAGCACTAGGGGGCCTCTTTGGCTTGTTAGGATCCTTCACCTTCTTTCCAGCCTTTCTACCACGAGTTTTCAGCCTGAGAATCGATTAAAAAAAAGGCGAAAACAGTCGGAGAAGTACAAAAAAATAGCAGAAGAATCTGGATCTCGGATACGCAGAAAAAGAAGCCAACGCGGAAAGCTCACCTCTTATCAGTGCTCTTGGCTTCAGCTTTTGACTGACCGCCTTTCATTGCGAATTCTGCGAGAGAGGAAAATCGGAGAACCGATGAGAATCGATCGAGAATCGGCGAAAACGAACGCGACTCAGTCTGAGTCCGACGACGCGAGTTACCTGTGAACGGTAGGGTTTTTGTTTGACGGAGACGAGAGATGTTTTCCCCTTCGCTGCCTCTTTTTTTTTTATTTTTGCTCCCTCCCTTTGATGCGCTGTGTATCGTGAATTTAAAGAGATCCCAAATTTGTAAGATTAAAGTAAATATATACATATATATATATATGTATAATATAAAAGCAAATCGAGTGGCGGGATTTCAAAAAAACGGAAAGAAAAATAAATTTTTTGCCACGTCGGTAAATATCTCACCGCTTTTAAAGTTATTATACCTTTCGAATCTTGACCGTTCATTGCCGCCACGTGTACTTCTCATATCTTTGTGCTGAATCACAATGGACTCGGTTTCTTCGATAGAGCTTCCGGCCCAAAACAAGAGAAGTCCAGTGAAAATCAAACCATTTGGGCCGGCCCTTTCTTTCGGCCCATATTCATAACTATGGAAACTGTTTCCAGCAAATTTTAAACCGGTTTCCGACGCGATCATAACCGGAAACCGATTAAAAACACGATTCCGAGGGATTCGCACCATAAACCGCTAGATTGTTTCCGGTCACAATGGAGTAGATCATCCACCCACTGGTAAAGGCAGTGGAGATTGATCGATCGATCGAAAATTATGTAAACTTTTTTTTCTGGTTTGCATGCGATGATGCTCCATTAAGTGAATAGAAATAGAAAATTTTGACAGCTTAGGATATGAACAAAGACGTTTGTTATTCATCAAAACAAAATATTTGATTCCATATCAGAATTCGTGAAACTGAGGAAACATAAAACCCAGAAAAAGAAGGGAATATAAATCAAAACGGGAAGAAATCGTCGTGAACAGAAAATAATTATTATATTATTATTAATAAGAAATAATACATAGATTTTCATAAAACGAATGAAACATAAAAGACAATACAGTTCAATTATAAATACGACACGAGGATAAGAACCAAGAGTTCTTTTAGAGTTGATCTTCTTCAGGATCTTCCTTTTTAGGACTCTTGTTGAGATCAAAAGACTTTGGTTTAAGGTTTGGGACAATATTTTCCTCAGAATCTTCGTTCGGCATTACGTTTAGGTCAAAGTCGAGACCTTTTCCATCACCATTGCCACTACCACCACCAAGATCTGAAGCAGCAACAATAACACTAACAGATCTGTCACCGTCATTACCACTGCAACCAATGATGATCCCTTCAGCTGCTGCCGAAAACCTAGGAGGCGGAAGAAACCCATGATGTTGCCTTTCCTTGTGGGCCCTCAAATGTCCAAAAACCGCCTTCCATGACCCGAAAACCCTATGACAATAAGGGCAAACTGGTGGACCAGCAGGTGGATCAATGAGTTCGGGGGCTCTCTTCTTGGCCGAGCCACTTCCCGATGCTCCTGCGCCGTCAACCTTCGGTTTCTTGGAACGTTTCTTACTTTCGCTTCCGCTCGCCTTCATCTTTTCATTCTCCCCTCTACCTTTATCTATGACCGCCTCCTCTTCGCCAACAGCAACAACAACATTTCCAACAGGGGGTTTATCCTTGTCGGGATTGTCGTCATCTTGATCCGGGTTATCCCAGAAATCATCATGGAGACGCAGAGTAGGGAGACCTAAGACGATCTCCCTCATCATTGCCTCTTCCCCTTCATCCTCGATCTCAACTTCCTTGTCATCAAATCGATTTTCTTCAGCACTCACCTTCATCAAGGCGGCAATGGTTTCTTCCTTTCTAGCTTCTTCAATCCCCTTTGCGTCAGAACCAAGAAACTGCTTCTCGAGATTGCTCATGATGATTCAATTGCAAAAAAAAAAAAGACACGAACAAGTTTTTATCTCTCTCTAAGAACTTTGTTTGGATTTGTGTGTAAAAACGAAGGTGTCATAATTCGACGACCATGATAGGTCTTATATATTGTGTCGGGACCCTCGACCGTTAATGTCCATTATCCGTACAAACGGTCAATTATGTTTATTTTCTCCCGCCTCTTCATTTGAGGTTTGTGTTTGTTTCGTATATTATTCTCATCGATCACCGTACAAGTGGACGATGAGTTCCAATAAATGGATAGAAATGGAATATTTTGACAGTATATGACACGAAGAAGGACGTTTATTATTTCCCAAAACAAAATATTTAATTTCATATCAAAATCCATGAAAATGAGGAAACATATTACTTGGAAAGGAAGGGAATATAAAGGAAACTAGATTTGCATAAAATGAACGAAACATAAAAGATAATACCTGAATAGGAAACTAAAGACGATGACAGTTCAATTAAAATGCGACATGAAGATTGCCAAGATGGATCAACAACCCGGCGAATGATGTCAACCACAATAGGAAGCAGATTGCCAAGATTCTTTTGCAGGTGACAGCTTATACCTTGTGGAAGGAGAGAAACAACCGAATATTCCGAAGCCAGCGGAAATCGATGGAGTACACGAGGTGGAAGGTGGATCGTATCATGCGGACGAAGCTGCTCTCTCTTATGAGGAAGTCGAATGATGATGGAGTATCTATGCTCAATGATTGGTATTTTCTTACAATGAATATTCGCAACTAAGAACAATTGAATGATGTCTTTTGAGGAATTATTTTGACCACTTCTTCATGGGTTCTGGAAAACTTTTGTATACAGTCTTATAACTGGTTGTAATTTTTTGGATATATAATATATATCACATTCAACAAAAAAAAAAAAAAAATACGACATGAAGATAAGGACTAGAAACCCTTTTAAGGTATATCTTCTTCAGGGTCTTCCTCTTTAGGAGGACTTTTGTTGAGATCAAAAGATTTAGGGTTAGGGTTTGATATAATACTGTCCTCAGAATCTTCGCCCGGTGCTACGTTTAAGTCAAATCCGAGACTTTTACCATCACCATCGCCACTACTACCATCGAGATTTGAAGCAACGAAAATAACAGATTTGGCAGCGCCACTACCACTACAACCAATGGTGATCCCTTCACCTGCTGCAGAAAACCTAGGAGGCGGGAGAAACCCGTGGTGTTGTCTTTCCTTGTGGGCCCTCAAATGTCCGAAAACCGCTTTCCATGACCCAAAAATCCTCTGACAATAAGGGCAAACTAGTGGACCAGCAGGTGGATCGATGAGTTCGGGGGCTCTCTTCTTGGTCGAACCACTTCTCGATGTTCCTGCAACATCATTCTTCAATATCTTAGATCGTTTCTTGCTTCCACTTCTGCTCGTCTGTTCCTTTTCTTTATCCCTTTTACCCTTATCTCTGATCGCCTCTTCCTCGGCAGCAACGACATTTTCGATAAGAGTTTTACCCTTGTCGGGATTATTGTCATCTTGATTTGGATTATCCCAGAAGTCATCTTGGAGACACAAAGCACGGAGACCTAAGACAATCTCCCTCATCATTGTTTCTTCCCCTTCATCCTCGATCTCCACTTTCTCGTCACCGGATCGATTTTCTTTAGCACTCATCTCCATCAAGATGGCTGAAGGAAAAATGAGGTGCCTACGATTCATCTCTAGATTTTGCATGCATTGGAATAAAAACATATAACAAATGCATGGATTTTAACCTAGACTAATTGAATCATCGTAATAAGTGTACGTACCTAAAAATGCAAAATGAGATAGTCGAAGACGTCACATAGATAAGGGAGAGTGTGCAAAGAAAAACATCTCTACCAATATCCATATGCCGGGTCGGTACACTAGTAGTACCTATGAAATTTGTCGGTTTAGACAATCAATACTTTTCGTATTTCTATTCGGAAACGTTTCTTTTATCGAATTTTATGGTTTCGTTGTTTTCAGATGATTTTTAAAGTGATATCTAATGTCAATTTATAGCAAATCAAAGAATATAAAGAGTCAAATTCATTAAATAGATTTCAAAATGCGAAGAGACATATTCATCTTCATTAAATAAGTTCAAATGAATATTATTTAACGAATGTATCACGTCATACGAAATAAATTTCGTATTCTAAAATGTATCACATACATCAAGAATAATCTCGTAAATATAAACTAAAAAATTAACAGAACAATAAATATAGTAAGAAAAATATCCAAACATATAATCGACGTATATCAAATATATATAATAATTCGATATAACTCTATATGTATGATCTAGTAGATCTCGTTTAACGCAGTCGTAACAATACAATCATATTTTACCGCACACATTAATAATAATCTTTAGTAAGAGACATCGCCTCGACTATATTCACAATATCATAAAACTACAATATCTCTGTCTCCTAATATATATCAATCGTACGTAATATCAATCAACGTTAACCAATTTAACCGTTTTTTCATACCTTAAATCATCTGTCGTCAATATATACCAATCGAACTATATTCGTTGTCCGTACAAACGGTCGCGTCTCTTATTTTCTCCTGCCTCTTCGTTTGAGCTTTGCGTTTGTTCAATACATCATGCCTAATCATCACCGTACACGTGGACAATCAGATCTTGGTTCTTGATCTTTGTTAGTCTGCGTGGCAGTACGGGGATGTCGTGAAGGAACCCGCCTGTTCGAAGAGGTGTACGTCTGGGTACTCGCTTTGACGAAAATACCCCAGTAAAAGCCGTTATTATCTATCGCACCCCTCCCAAAGCGTCGCGTTTCTATCTAACGGAACGTGTTATAAAACACCATGCCGCTTTAGTTTTACAGAACCAGACTCCATGTCGTTTTTACACCACGCGCATGGTGCGATGTCACCACAATTTGTTCTAGAGCAAGATATTAATTACACGTGAATTTGGACATGTATAAAAAAAAAACAAGAAAATATGTAGCACACAATGAAAAAAAAATTAACCGAGAAGAGAAGTCATATGATGACAAATCTTCTATGAAGTATGTACAAAAAGACAGGCCAAAAACCGGCGCTGCAAAAGAGTTGGAAAACAAACTATTCACGTCCTTTGGTATAGAAAACGGAGCTTTCAATACATGAACATGGCGGAAAGAGAATCTGACCATTAAATAAACCAGACCAGACAAGATAAGACAGGATTAAAATGGACGTTACCAACTACGGACCAGGAGGAGGAGGGTTGCCGAGAAGCCGTTCAACGGCTGCGTGAACGTTCCCAGCCGTAGCGACCAGTGCTCGGACGTTTTCCCCTGTGTCAAAAAATCCCATTTCTTGAAGCTGTGACAGCTGAGTTGCGTAAAGTTCTTCCGGAGGCCCTGGATTTTTGCGGAAAAAACGAGATCGGTGTGAGAATTCGAGGGGCTGTGAATTTTTATGACGAGGAGATTCGACAGGAATCGGGCTAAAAAGAAAGGTAATACCGTTAGGACGTTGCGGGCCAGCCAGGCCGCCTGACCCGAGTCCCCCAAACATGTTCAGTAGCATCTCTAGTCCCGGTCCAGAGCCAGGCGCTACAAAATAGATAATGTTTACGGAGCAAAGATAAAGATCGGATCTTTACTAATGGGTCGAAAGTTTAAACCTTAAAGTTCCATACTTTTTCCATTTTCAAAGAAAGGCTTTTGATTCGGACACAGGGTTTAAATAAAGAAGAGAGTTTCATAGTACCTGTAGCTCCACCAGCCCCACCAGTCTCCTCCCTACAAGAAAAAACCCAAACCAATTACGCAACTGTGTTCAGAAGAAACAACTAGAAACAGAAACTGTCATGGACACATTAGATTAAGCGATGGAGGAACAGCTTTAATGCCGCTTACTGTGTAGGCTGCTGACGACCCAGTTGGGACAGGAGAGATTGCTGGAATGTCAACAATTGCTGCGAAAATACATTAGAACGAACATCAGATACCGATAATGAAACGTTCTCGAAATAGGGGAAACACTTTTGCGTTGACAAATCTTATTCGTGTAGTATTGGATTGGTGTGTCTTGTTAAGGCATGCAGCTTAAGATGGATACCTGAAGCGTGTCTGGAGATGTCATCCGACGCAAAAGATCCGGGCTTTGGAGCATTTCTCTCAGCTGGGTATTAGAATCGAGCATGCCACGAAGCTGTGGGTTGAGATTGAGAATCTGCGGATCCAAAAACCGATACAAATCTATGTATATAGTCTCACATCATAAATCGAGATTATCTTTACATGAATCACTAAGATAAAACCAAACTAACCTGATTCATGTACTGGGGGTTGGATAAGAGGCTCTGCATCATCTGGTTAACAGCTGGGTTCTGCATTAACTGGCTAAGAAGGTTGGCATCAGGCATTGCCCCAAACATGTTGTCAAGTCCGGGAAGACCACCTCCTAATCCAGCAGGAGACCGAGGCATATCTTCCCGAGCAGTATCCGATCCCGTGGTGTTAGTCTGGGAAGCCCTTCCAGTATCTACATTTGCGTTCAGAGAGTACATACGAGTTATAAATGCTGTTAGTAACGAGAGAAACGCAAAAAGAAAAATAGGAAAGATCATCGATAAACTTACTGCCAGTAGATGCCCATGGATTAGGAAGCGGGTTAGCATTTGGAGCAGGAGAATTATCGGAATTCTCAGAAGCAGTGGCTGGTTGATTGGTCGATCCGTCTCTAAGCTGTGTCCCAAGGAGGGAAGCAAAAGGGTTCGTGGCATCGGTGCCTGTAGTCCCAGCTCCTGTAGTAGCGTTTAAAAGAGGCTCTTGAACATTCTCGTACATGCGTCTGAGCATGTTGAATCCCTCGGGAGTTGCCTCTATGTTGCTCATTGCTCGGTCAGTGTTCCGCATCATCTCACGCATAAGCTCGGGATTCCTTGCGGCGTCCAGAGTTTGCCGAAGAATGCTCGGATCATTCAGCACGTGGGCAAGCTCAGGATTGGAATCGATGATTTGACGCATCTGAGGGTTATTCATAATCATATTCCGCATCACCTCGGGATTGTTCATCAGGCTCTGGACTACAGGCATGTTCATCATCTCCCTCATGATGTCGGGATTCCTGCTCAGCTGTTGCTGTACCTGTTCAAAATCCGGAAGCCCGGTTGCGAAAAACCCGCCATTGCCACCAAGACCGAGCCCAGGAAATAGTGAAGCTCCGAGGCCAGATCCTCCAAGTGACCCACTATCATCCGAACCAACACTGCTGGTGTTATTCTGAGTTGGATTTGGAGCTGCCACCGTAGGGTTAGGACTGCCATTGCTGGCTGATGAAGTTGCGAAACCACGAACTAAGTGGACAGTGTGATCATCTTCCAAACCTATCGTTCAAAAGAATTAACAATATCATCAACTGACAACCATCCATTTGATCGAAATTTCTACATAAACCTCTAAAAACCCAAATCCAAAGTATACTTGAAGCTGATCAAGCAGAAACATTTAACTTAATTGCATTCCTATGACCAACAAGACGCGAACTTTAGCAGAACCGGAGCTCAGGATGCAAGAAAATACCATAGCTAACGAGCGTTTGGTCGTCCTTCAAGATCCGACCCTTGTAAATCAACCGCTGCTGATCGGCGGGGATGTCGCACTTCTGAGCAAGAACGGATTTGAAGGATCCGACGGTGGAATCGAGCTTGACCTGGACGGAGAATTTCGAGCCGTTGGAGCACCGGATATTGACGGAGACCTCGCCACCGGATCGGCCGAGTTCCTCCGCCGCCGCATCGTCATGAACAGATGAATCGCCAACACCGCCTTCTCCTCCTCCCATATCTCCCTCCCTTTTCCCTCCCTCACACCAAATTGGGAATCGCCTTCAGACTGCAAAATCCAAACCCGGAAAACAATCCGCTGAGGAAGACAGAAAAAGAAAAGCACAAAAGCGAGAATACGAATCATACGAAAAGGGAAAGGGAGGAACGGAATCAGATTGGACAAAAGCTTAAACCCACCGAGGAAAGGAAAGAATCGATATCGATAGTGGTGTCGGAGCCGTACGGAGGAATCCACAAGCAAAAATGAAAAACGCCCCCACACACAATCGCAGTCCAGATAAAGATGGGAAAGATTGTGCTGCAAGAATCGAATTAACTTCCGGGAATTCGGATCGAGTCGCTTCGGTCCGGGCACGCGTATCTAGGCTCATGTTCCCAATGGGTCGGATCCTAGGAACATAACTGAACTGAACGGCTTTATATGGGCCTGTTTGAAGGCCCAATTAGAATGACGGCGCCCGGTTCAATTCAACGGTACGGTCAAATGAACCGGAAAACCGGAATTACATTTGAACCGTACCGGTTCGGCCGGTTAAAGGCTTTGTTGTAATAATCACGAATTCTTTAATTTAAAGTTTATAGATTGAAATAAAATATTTATAAAAAAAAAAAAAGTTAAAACCAGATGGTAATATCGTTAAAATTCAATATATTTGACTTCTAGACGACAATTCAGTACATAAAATAATAATCATCAACCAAAAAGATTCAAATAAAACTTGAATATCCTTGGATTTTGAGATAATTTTTTAATTTATAATTTTAAATATCTATAAATTTTATTATCCTCTATTTCTTATCCCATAAGTTTAAATCACACTATAATCGTTTCGCCTAGTAGAAAGAGACATTTTGGGATGCGATGTTATACTAATCATAATTGCTTGCTTCATGTAAACGTCTATCTAATCCGTTTTTTAATTAACTCTCATGTAATATTATTTAATTGATTAATTTTGCTTTTGTGTGTGATTAATTAATTAATTAATTAATTAACAAGGCTACCCCCAGTTCACGGCCTTATTCGCTGGCATTGCCCGTTGGGCCTAGATTTTCGTAAACATTAACATACGACCATATTATTCGGTGCTAATTTTCTTGAAATTTTTATTGAGTGCCCAAATTACCCTTTTCCTTTAACTTATACAGATACATTATTATTGTTATTAATATTATAGGCTCATAACAATAATATTAAATTTTTATTGATATATAAACTAATAAATATGTTAAATAATTAAATAATCCAGATTATTTATTATATGAATTATTTTAATTAATTAAGATTAAATTTAGTGGTAATATGATATCTAATCCCATAATATTAATATAGATCTGTTTGTATTAATGATATTTAGAGAAATATTACTTTAGATTTTCATTTAATCCCATACCATATTTTATAGGTACGGTCAATATGCGAATTTGTAGTTATCTATGCAATGGTTGGGAATATCGAATGCATTCACACAAAAAAAAAATCAACAATTACATCATTCTGTATCCAAATAAAATTGTATTTATATATATATATATAAAAAGGTTAGGACCGGAAACGCAGCCTAAGTGGGGAAGAGAGCGTAGAGCGCACCTCCTTGTCTGAAAAAAAGTCGAAGCCGCAAAGCAAAAAAATAAAAATAAAAATAAAAAAAGAATAATAATTTGAAATAAGAAGAGAAGCCACATGCCCCAACCAAAGTTACCGTTGCCCTTAAGACAAGACCATAGAAGGAAATCGATCTCGCTTGCTTGCTTCATGATCCAACGGTCATTTTCATCACTAGCCGTTGTCTTTTTTTTCTTTTAAATAAAAAAAAAAGTTTCCATCTTTTTTTTTCTCTCTCCTTCATCTCCCTCTCTCTTTCTCCTTGCTTTATTTCATCGATTCTCCCCCTCTCCAGCTCCTGGTTCGATTCATCAGACCTCTCCGTTTGATGTTCTTCTCCAGGATTTACTGATTTCGAGTGGTGGGTTTCGGATTTCTCCTGGAATAATCAAACCGAAAATGGTTATCTCCGATGAGAACAATCGTAATATCGTCGTCAAACCCACCACTACCACTGTTAGTCTTCACCAAGGTTGATGATGCATCTGAGGATCTGAAGTGTTATTACTGATTTCCCGGATCGAAATTCATAGTCTTGTGCAGAAATCTGATAAGGGTAGCGTTTGTTTTTTTCTTTCTTTCTGGGTTTTAGATGAAACCGGGGGCAGGAAATTCGGACAGGAGAATCGACAGAACCGGAGAGCGTTGCGTGTGATTAATCAGAACCTTGTTGGAGCAAGAGGAGGGTACCCTTGTGTCGTCAACAAGAGAGGCTTGTCCGAGTAAAAATACATCTTGAATATCCTCTACTCATGTTTTATAGATCTCTATCTGTTTCTTCGAATGATTATCTGTAACATGTTTTCGGGTTTTGCCTCATTTGGATCAGCAGGCTGGGTTTTAGATGAAACCGGGGGCAGGAAATTCGGACAGGAGAATCGACAGAACCGGAGAGCGTTGCGTGTGATTAATCAGAACCTTGTTGGAGCAAGAGGAGGGTACCCTTGTGTCGTCAACAAGAGAGGCTTGTCCGAGTAAAAATACATCTTGAATATCCTCTACTCATGTTTTATAGATCTCTATCTGTTTCTTCGAATGATTATCTGTAACATGTTTTCGGGTTTTGCCTCATTTGGATCAGCCGGAAGGATGAAGGGTGCGGAAAGAAGCTTGATTCGTTGCGTCCACCAGTTACAAGGTCTTGAGACTTTAGTGATGACTGTCATCATCTGTCCTGTTAGTTCTTGGTCATTTACCTTGTTTGTTGATGTGAAATCTTGATTCTGGATTCACAGATCTCGAGCCGAAGATCTGTGTCCGGAGGAGACAAAGAAGCTGAAGCCGTCAGTACCAACAAAGAACGAGTTCGGAGACTGTATATTCGTGGATGAAGAGGAAAAATCGACAGTCGTGCCAATGTCCTTGGAGGAACCAGGCCCAAACCTTGGTGATGAATCTGATCCAATGGTATGCAATACGAATCAAACACGAACTATATTAGTCCGTGATCCGAGTAAAATCTTATGCAAAAAACTGAAATTGGGCAGGAGGAAGTCGAAATGGAGGATATAACAGTTGAAGAACCAATCTTGGATATAGACAGTACCGATACAAAGAACTCACTCGCAGCTGTAGAGTATGTAGAAGATCTGTACTCTTTCTATAGGAGCATGGAGGTATATACATGCTACTCTAAATTCTGCAACTTCATAAGAAACAGTATCCGAATCTCGGGTTTTGTCTGAGACAATGCTGGATTTATGTTTTGCAGAGTTTTAGTTGCGCTCCTCCTGATTATATGACTCAACAACTTGACATAAACGAGAAGATGAGAGCTATACTGATAGATTGGCTCATTGAGGTAAAATTGATTTGATCATCCTCTCTGTGTTTGAAGCAAGTGAAAGAATCTATGGTTGTGAGGCGAGATTTTGTGTAAAACTCGACGCAGGTACACGATAAATTCGAGCTCATGAACGAGACATTGTTTCTGACAGTGAACCTGATAGATAGATTCTTGTCCAAGCAAGCTGTTGTAAGAAAGAAGCTTCAGCTTGTAGGGTTAGTCGCCATGCTTTTAGCGTGTAAGTACGAAGAGGTCTCCATCCCCGTGGTATCGGATCTGGTTCTCATTTCAGACAAGGCTTATACGAAGGAAGACATTCTAGAAATGGTAAGGCGATTATCAGTTTCTCATGGCCAATATCTGATCAGATGAACATTGTTCTGATCGGTTTGTTTCCTCCACTGTCTGCAGGAGAAAACGATGTTGAACACGCTTCAATTCAACGTCTCGTTACCGACACCATACCCTTTCTTGGCAAGGTTCCTTAAGGCAGCTCAATCAGATAAGAAGGTAAAAGTTTAGTAATGTTCTGTTCTTTCCAGTTATGATCCAACACATTTTCCTATTCACAGAAAAATATTCAATGTGTTTTTTTTCTTGTCCCTTCTGAATCACACAACAGCTGGATATTATGGCGTCGTTCCTGATCGAGCTTGCCCTCGTGGAATACGAGATGCTTCAGTTCCCGTCATCGCTACTAGCGGCCGCTGCTGTGTACACAGCTCAATGTACACTTCACGGCTTCAGACAATGGAACAGCACGTGCCAGTTTCACAGCCACTACTCAGAACATCAGCTTATGTAAGTTTCTGTTCTCCTCTCCCCCCCATTAAACCTCAAAAAGAATGATCGTTTCATCCATAAAACGCAAAAGGGTACAAAAAAGGACCGATCTTTCATCCATAAAACACAAAAGGGTATGAAAAAGGACCGATCTTTTTCATGAATCAACTTGTGTAAGTTTCTGTTCTTCCTCCCCCATTAAACCTGAAAAGAATGATCCTTTTATGAATGGGCAATCTTTTATCCATAAAACGCAAAAGGGTACGAGAAAGGATGAATCGTTTTCATGAATCATCAACTCTTGGGTTTTTTTTTTTATTGCAGGGAATGTTGTAGAAAGATGGTGACTTTCCATCAAAAGGCTGAGACAGGGAAGCTGAGTGGGGTATATAGGAAGTATAGCTCGAGAAAGTTTGGGAACATAGCGAAATGCGAGCCTGCACATTTTCTTCTGATGCAAGTGTAGCTGAAGAAGGGAAGAAGAAAGCGGTGTACAGGCTACAGCTGCTGCTACTGACATTCTTATTACACAACTCCAACACTTACTTTGAAGAGCAAGTAACACAAAGCCAAACAACTGTCCTTCTCTCTCTCTCTCTCTCTCTCTCTCTCTCTCTCTCAGGTTTCAGAAGTTATCTGTTGTTTAGTTTCAAAGTGTTCTTCTTGGGTTTGTGATATGATGATCTCTGTCATTTGTCTCTCACAGAAATAAACTCTAATGAGTGGATAAGATACATCCATCATTCTTCACTTCAAACAACTCTCTCTCTCTCTCTCTCTCTCTCTCTCTATCTCTCTCTATCTCTCTGTTATTGAGTTTCAAAGTGTTCTTCTTGGGTTTGTGATATCTCTCTGTCATTTCATCTCACAGGAAATAAACTCTAACGAGTGTATAAGATACATTCAGAGATAGATTTACATTTCAGCCATTTCTATTGTTATATGAGATCTTCAATCGTCTTTGAATCGATGTTCTGATATGCAATGAACCGATTCAAAAAGATTTCAGAAAATGTATATTTTGCATAAACTCTGAATGAAATCTCTGTCTGAAGATGCGCATCCACCATTCTTTGCTTCCGAGAAAGATTTCACATTTCAGGCATTTCCATTATTACATGATATTTAAGTGTCTTGAATTGATATTCTGACAACCAACCAACCAACCAACCGATTCAAAAAAAATTATTTTACAAAATATATATTCTGAATGATTTTCTGTACAAAGATGCCAAGCTTTTGAAATCACGAGGTTCTCAGCTTTTTGTCTGCTGCGTTTTGGACTTCCATCTCTTTTAAATTGCAACTGACAAACACAATTCTGACTTTACAACCCATAAAAAAAAAAAGATTTTCAAATTAATAACTATACAAAATAAAATTTAATTAGACTCCAAGTTACTGGGAATTTATAAATTTGCAAACTTTTCATGCAATACAAAAGTTTTGTTTACTTATTAATTATGAAAAAATTAATTAGTATATATAAGTAAAATATATTAAAGTGAGATTTAAAAATACAAATTCTCCACGTAATTTCTTGAACCAAAAACGATGTCGTTTTATTGTGTTTTTAATATGCCCATTTCTCCCACCAAACTCTGCAGAGTTTACAGGATCGACGAACATGGCGGCGTCGGCGAATTCTTTTCTCCTCCAGAATCAAGCCCAGATCTCAGCCTTCAACCTCAGATCCACCTCGCAATCCCTTCTTCACCTCGCCAAACCATGCACCCTGAGCCTCTCCGGAAGACCCAAGCCCGCCGCCGTCAGATGCGCCGCCTCGACCCAGGTCCACGATCCGGCCAGATCCGGCGCCGCCATCGGATCCCAGGAGCGCGTCTTCAACTTCGCTGCGGGGCCCGCCACCTTGCCGGAGAATG